AAAAAAAAAAAAAAGGGGGGGGGGGGGGGGGGGGGGGCGTACGACCCCCGGTAGGCCGGGACGGGCCAACGCACGCAATCCTTAATGAGAATCACCGGGCTGGCCTTGCGCGCGTCGCACGTCCCGACAAGCGAGGCCCGAGAGGAGGATACGGGTTCGTCTGACTCGTCCGGGCTTGTTGTCTGTGGCGTGTCTGAGACGAGACGGTCACAGCCAAGCTTGTCCCTGACAGCCGAGACGAAGCGGAAATGAAGAGTCAGCTTCCTATCTAGTCCGCTCGGTCCTTTTTGGGTGTGTGTGTGTGTGTGTGTGTGTATGTGTGTGGTGTTGTTCCGGTCTGGAAAAGCTTTCCAAAACCCAAGGATTAATGAGGCTCATCGATTGGGATGAGGGCCGGAGCGGCAAGAGAACAAGGCGCTAACACGGGAAGTATTATCTACGTGCAGAGCCTCCCGCGGGTGCATAAGGTTTGGCAAGGTTTTCTGTCGTCCGGAAACGTTGGTTGTTTGCGACGACGTGGTTTGGATGAAGTGTGTTGGAGTTGACATTTCCCAAAAGAGCCCTGCCGAAGACGACGGAATTACAATATGGACATTTCAAGTTCACATGGGGGAGGTGGGTGTTTGACGTGATCTTGCTCATTGAAGAATATGTACGAGAGAGCGATAGGGGAGGGATTAAAACAAAGTATTTCAAACCAGTGATGCAACGTGATCATACCCCATGACGCCGTAAATGTGCCATCCAAGAATCCCCAGGCCGTGACGTTTCGTCACTTTTTCCGTGACGCAAGGAAACTGTTCTGACGCAGAGATGCAGAGAAACTAAAGGAGAATTATGCTCTAAAAGCGGGTGCCGGAAGAGTTGTTGGCGTTGCGAGACCCGGGCCGCATCGTGTTGGGCGGGAAGGCCTGAGGATTCTCGTCAAGGAGGTCCTCTAGGTACGCGCTCGGTGCCCTCTGGCCGTTCCCAGGCGCTGCGGACAGATTGACGGAGCTGGTGCTGAAGTCGCGCCTCACACCGAAGGAGGGGGAATCGGGAGGCGTAGACTCCCTCAACGTGTTGCGGCTTCCATACTGGCCTCGAGATTCGGGGCGGAGGTTCGTCAAGCTTATTGAGTGGCCGTGAGCAGGGCTGGGAGATGCAGTAGCAGCGGCGTAGAACCCAGAAGGCAGAAAGCGGGAGTCGCGGGCATTGGTCTGGTTGTTGATATTGCTACTGCTGCCGCCGCCGGCCGCTGTCGGCGAGAAGAAAAGGTTCGACTGGCTCGGGGTAGCCGAGGGGATGGGACCGCGTTGCGTCCTACGCACACCACGTCCGCCGGCAGGAGGGAGAGAAGGAGTGGATTCGCGGTCGGTGTACTTGTAGAACTGGGCGGGAGGGGCAGGGAAGCTCGCCTTGTCGTTGGCATCGTGCTGGGCGTAGGCGGCCCGGGCGACGGAGCGGTGCAGGAGGCAAGCGACGATGCCGCGCCAGATCAGGATGCCGAAACCAAAAGCACCGAGGATGGCACCAACTGCGATGAAGACGGTTCCCTGAGGAGCGGTGGACTGGTGCATGTAGGGGGCGTTGTTGGTAGGGGGGACGGTCGGCGGCGGATAGGTCGCAACAATAGGGGCGTTGGTGAGGGATGGGAAACCCGTGAGGACCTCGCCAGTGGTCCCGGAGCCGCCGCCGGTGATCCTAGGAGCGCTGATGCTCGCTTCCGTGGTCGCAACGGCACCAGTGTTGGAAATGACAGCGGTCACCGGGTTTGTGCGAGTGGGCTGGGCCTCTTCCTGGGATGCGGAAGTCGCTGGCGTCGATTGAGGGCTGGGTTGAGCAGCTTCCCGGCTCGGGCTGTCCTGGGCCAAAGCCGTGGCCGAGAAAAGAGATAGGGCGGCGAAGGTGGACAGCAGAAGCGTGCGCTTCAGCGAGTTGCGTAAGGGGGCCATATCCACCTGCTTGATCGGAATGCCCGGCTACGTCCGAGGGTCGAGGTTTCGATGGAATTCGGTGTTGGAAACCAAGACGATGCGGGCGTATCAAGGTGTCTTGTTCACGAAGCCGGTCGTTGCAATTGTATCCGGTTGACGAGGGAAGTTAGGATTGGGGAGGAAGGGTGTCGGAGCCGGCGGGCAAAGGAGCGTGGTCGTGGTGGTGGTCGTGGCTGGCGGATGGCGGATGGCGCGGTTTAGAAGTAGATGAAAGGATGGTGCGCGGCGAGTGGAAGGAAGATATCGCCAAATTTTGCAAAACGCAGGACAGACTATGTGAGACGTTTAAAGATTGAAAGGGATCCGCTGGCTAGAACATTGCTGATACCGGCTGATCTTCTGGCTGAGTGAGCAGCTTCCGAGGGCTGGCTGTGAGGGAGAGGGATGGAGGGAGCAGGAAAGGGAGGGATGAGGGTTGCGTGATGGGGAAGGCGAGGGAAAGCAGAGGCGGGTCCGGGCCATCAGCAGGGGAGGGGCCTGGGTAGAAAAAGGAGGGAGGAAGGGTCTTTCCCTGGTGGAGAAGGACGGGACCGGCGTTCAGAATGTTATTAGCGGGCGAGACGGTTTTCGGCCTGTGTGGCGCGGCGCATTTGGCTGCAACGGAGGGAGGGAAGGTTCTGACTGACGTGCTGCTCTGTGTTTGTTGCTGATCTGTTTATTTTTGTGCATTCGGGCAGGCATTTGAGAGAAAAAGAGACATGCAGACTGACAGACAGACACACAGTGCTGGGACGTCACATGCATAGGCAGGTTTCTGACCTGCATGAGGTGGAATCTGGGGAGACGGCATACAGTGTGGTACAGCACAAAACTGCGCAGATGAACTGTGCAGAAGTCGCCCTCCATGATGCTTTGCTCGTATTGACAGAGTTGGCTCCACTAATCAGCAGCTCTCAGTATGCGCTACAGTGGCTCCAGGTCGCCAACACGAGCCCTCATCCGGGGTAAACGGTCAGCGTACCTGGCAGAAGCCCACCTAACGGTACTTGTACGAGATCTTCAGAATCCGTCAATTAATATGGGCCGCCAAGTTACGAACCGATTGCAAGCAAAGCCTCTCTCAAGAATGCGAGTGATGGATGGATGGCCCACCCCACGAGTCACACATCCTGGGCTGCTGATAGTTTGCAACCGCTCGTTGAATACCTATCGTCAGTTTGCCCTCTCACTATGAATTTTGTCTGTCTATCATCTTATGCATACACCGAAATCCTGATGCAAGGCACCGCCTTGTCTTACGCCCATCTCCTCCATCATCTGGGCGTGCTGATCGATCGTTTGTTTCTTTAGTGTAATTGCTGGGAGGGGAGATTGCAACGCTAACGCCTGCCCGTCCAACCGGTGCGAGAGGGCCCTTGTCATTCGTTGCTCTGGGCCACCATCGATGCCCCACCTCGCCCGAAAACACACTGCGCCGACGTGACTCTTCCTCGCAAGAGCACAGACCTACCTGGCTCTTTTTGGTGGTACGCCCATACATAGTACACCCGTCCACCCATACACTGACCGATGCACACCGAGGTCGCTGAGAACCTCCGGACGGGCACACCGAAAACTTTTTTTCCCTCCCTGCTGGCGCCCCACCCCACGCCGCCACACACCGCCACACATGGCAGGCAGGCGGCGAACTCCAATCAATCCATCTTCATACAATAGCCTTGCCTAGCCTTGTCAACACCACAGCTTTGTCAATCGACAGACACTCACCTCTCACGGCCATCCACCCAAAACAGACGATATAACATACAATGGGTGTCCAGAAAAGGACCAGAAAGTTCGCCGAAGTATGTTTCGCTCTCCTTTCCTGCTCTTTCGTTGGCCACAGAAAATGTCCCTTATCGATAAGGACTTTTTTCTCTGGCATCGCGAAAACTTCACGATGATCCTGATGCCCCGAGCCCGACGATGAGAACTCGTTCTCGGACAAACGACTCTTCCGGGCCTTTTTAGGGGACGCAGTCTCATGCGAACGCTTTGCTGACAATCCCGCTCACCAGGTCAAACGAGTTATTGGCAAGAACGATGCCCGGCGCAAGGAGAACCTGAAGAAGGCCGAAGAGGCCATCGAGAAGGCCAAACGCGAGCGTGCCGGCCCCGATGGAAACGAGAAAATTCGCGAAATCCCCCAAGTCCCGTCATCATTCTTCTTCCAGGCCAACACCGCCCTCGTTCCTCCATACAGCGTCATCGTTGATACGTCCTTTTGGAATAGGACATTGCAAATGAAACTGGAGCCGCTAGAGACGATGATGGACTGTCTTTATGGTAATCTACAGAACACACTGTCTTCGGCTACCCCGGGCTAACAGGTCTCCCTAGCGACGTGCCAGCCTATTGTCACTGACTGTGTCATGGTGAGCACTCCGAGTTGAGGTTAATTCCAATTAATCTTCTTTACTGACAGCGGTTCCCAAGGCCGAGTTGGAGAAGTTGGGTCCCAAGTTCCGCCTTGCGCTGAGGTTAGCCAGAGACGAAAGATGGGAACGTCACAAATGCACCCACAAGGGTGTGTATGCAGACGACTGCATTGTAAGTCGCACATACGTTCTACTGAACAAGGCTTTTCAGCTGACTTCTGCGATCTAGGTGTCGAAAGTATCGAAAGATCGGGTCTACATCGTTGCAACCAACGACGCCGGCCTCGTCTCCCGTCTCCGCCGAATCCCGGGTGTTCCCATCATGAAATGTGCCCGCGGAAAGTACGTCATCGAGAGACTGCCGGACGCCCCGGTGTAAACGGCCAAGAGTTGTTTGAGAGAACGACGGCACATTATAACGGTGAAGGGACAAGATGGTTCAGTGTTGAGATATTGGCAAAAAGGCAGAGACTCTTCCGTGTGAAACTCGCAGCCTCAGTGTTAGGGTTCCTGAGAACCAACGCTATGGCTGGAACGCAAAAGCACTTATTTTATCGGCCGTTGGCCGCCCTGCACAACTGGGAGGAAACAAGCTGGGTCGTGATGTTTTCGACCCGGCTGTCTTTGGATTCGACATTGTGGAAGAAACCGCTTGATGTTCGGACTTAAAATACCTTATCCCCGAATCTGACGGGCAAATGGCGACGTCAGCTTAGTTGCCTGGTTTAGAATCCTTTGAAATCAAAAGAATGAACACGCACGATTCGCGCCTCTCCTGCTTGAGACCTGCTGCCCTCTCTAGGCCGCCCGACATACCCGTGTTGCTGTACCGGACTGACGCTAGTGGAAACTCCGGCGCCGGGACTGGCGTCGAATAGAGCCCCCCGCCTCCGGATCCCAGCAAGGGCATCACGGCGGAGCAACCCTCCGGCATATCCCCGCTCGTCAAGGACACCCTTCCGACATCCGCCCCCCCCCCCCCCCCCATACGGGGCGGTGGACTCCTGTCCGTCTATCTACGGAGATGCACCGGGACGCCCCCGCGCCCATAAACCTCCCAACAAGGCCCATGGACCTGGGGCACGACGCGAGCCCGCCGGGGCCCGCCTCGGGCGCGGCGGCGGCGAAACGCTCCCGCGTCCCCCTGTCATGTGGCCCGTGCCGAGCCTCCAAGCTGGGGTGCGACCGCGCGGCGCCGTGCGGCCAGTGCCTGAAGAAGTCCCGGCCCGAGAGCTGCGTCTACGCGCCCAAGCCCGAGAAGAAGAAGCCGCCCAAGGGCATGGCGGCGCGGCTGAGGCAGCTCGAGAGCATGGTGCGGACGATGATGGACGACGGCGTCGCCTCCGCCCCCTCCCGAACCTCCCCCTCCCCCTCTGTCGCCGCCGGCGCCCCGGCAGAGGAGGTCGGCGTCGCCCAGCCGGGCGGGCAGCTAGTCCGCGGGGAGAGGGCGAGCACGTACGTCGGCGCCACACACTTCATGGCGGTCCTCGAGGATGTAAGTCACACGCTCCGCTCCGCCAGTTCACCTGTCGTGCGCCTCTGTTGGGCACGTTCACGTTCGGAGAAGGCGAGAGAGAGGGAGGGAGAGAGAAAAACAGCGGCCGGCTGACAGGCGGGTGGGGAGTGGAACAGATCGAGGACATCAAGAGCTATTTGGAAGAGGCCGAGCTCGACGACGACGAGAGCCCAGGGCCCTCGGGCGAGCTCGAGACGCCGGACCTGATCTTCTCCTCCTCGGGAAACGCGCCTCGCAGCCGCGAGGACCTGATGCGGCTGATCCCCGACCGGAAGATCGTCGACCGGCTCGTCATGCGGTACTTTTCATCGCAGAGCCCTTCGCAACGTGAGTGACCGCCACCCTGGGAAGCTGCACGGGGTTGTCTCTTGTGTATTGTATTCTGACCAGGCGCAGACATCGTCCACAGACCAACGTTTGTAAAGCAAGTAAGTTCCTCACCTTCCGGCCCAGGACGCCTCTCGAACCCCTTCGTCGCCATCGTCGAGGCCGCACTGACAGCGCCCTCCGTCCAAGTACGCCCGGTTCTGGGCCGACCCTCCCGGTGCCCCCATCCACTGGATCGCTCTCCTCTTCATGATCATGTCCATCGGTTTCTTCTACTCCACAGTCACGGCGCCCCACGAATTCGTCTCCGACTCCCCGGAACTGCCGATGGACCGCATCAAGGTCTTCCGTGCGGCGGCGGCGTGGTGTCTCGTCTGGGGCCGCTACACCCAGCCGTCCATCGCTACGATCCCGCCCTTTATCCTCTACGTCGAGTCCGAGTTCGCCACCGCCCGCGCCGCCCAAACCAACTGCTACGTTCTGTCGTCCGTGTGCCTGCGGCTGCTCCTGAAGATGGGGATGCACCGCGACCCGGACCGGCTTGCCGGCATCTCCCCCTTCGAGGGCGAGATGCGCCGCCGCATGTGGAACATGGCCGTGCAGCTCGACCTCCTCGTCAGCTTCCACATGGGCCTGCCGAGCATGTTCAGCGGCATCGACAGCGATTGCAAGCTCCCGCGAAACCTCGTCGACGAGGACTTTGCCGAGGACTCGGCCGTCCTCCCGCCCCCGCGCCCGCCCACGGACTACACCGAGATGACGTACCCGATCAACAAGTCGTGCGTGATGCGCGTATTCGGCCAGATCGCGCGGCAGGCGCACCTCCTCGCGCCGCCTCCTTACAGTGAGGTCATGCGCCTCGACGGCCTCCTCGGAGAGGCCTGGGCCAGCGTGCCGCAGTTCATGAGGGTCCAGCCTCTAGAGCAGTGCGTCACGACGCCGGCGGTGCAGATCATCCAGCGCTTCGGCCTCGCCGCGCTTTACAACAAATCCCGGTGCGTGCTGCACCGGCGATTCCTCCTGGAGCCCCTGCCGCGGCGGGAGCACGACCACTCGCGGCGGCAGTGCCTCGAGGGCGCCATCGCGCTACTCGACTTCCAGAACACCATCTGGCAGGCCTCCCGTCCGGGCCACATGCTCAGCCAGCACGGGTGGTATGTGTCCTCGCTCGCCGTCCACGATTTCCTTCTGGCCGCCATTATCCTCTACCTGGCCGTGGGCAACCGGCAGTTCTGGGACGGCGGCGTCGAGCACGACTGGATGGCCGCGATGAGCCCGCCGCCGACGAGGGAGCGCCTCCTGCACCTGCTGCAGCGGTCGTACTCTGTGTGGGCCAGCATCGCCACAGACGTGCCCGAGTTGCGCAAGACGGCGGGCATATTGGAGACGATGCTGGGCAAGCTCGGATCGCCGCCGAAATCACCGCCAAAGGACGAGGCCGGCCAGGCTCTGTCGGTTACAGGGCTGGGCGAGGGCGGTGGTGGTTTGGTCTCGGAGAGCAGTTCTAGCCAGGAGTATCTTCTCCCCGGCAGCCTTTCCATTGACAGTAAGAGCCGCCTCCCCCGCCCTCTCCCTCCTTCCTGGGACTTGACTGACAATGGTGGGTTTACTAACGAAATGGCAGGTCCGACTGCGTTCTCCTTGGATACGGCGAGCAACTTCCAGCCGTTTGACTTCATGAAGTCTGGACTCGGACCAAACGACTCTGGTCTTGATCGTGGTTGGGTTGCAGTTGCAGTTGGAAACGAAATGGACTGGGTGCGTCTGCATTTTCACAGAGACCTAACAGAGTAACTTGCTAATTTCCACAGCGCTACTTTGACAACATCATCGCTCAGCCCAACAATGACCCCCTCGGGTCCTTCGGGCCTCTTGACACGGACCAGCAGTGGTTTGACCGAGCGCCGGCGCCGGGCGACTTTGAGTTCCCGGGGTCAGGGGCTTAGGGTTCAATTCTGGGAGAGCATGGCTGAGCTCCAGTTGACCATGCTGTCCTCTACGGAGGGCTACATGGATTACATGTCAAGACGGCTTGCCCGTATGCCTCTGCCAGAGCGGCTCGGCAAGCCGATGCAATGGGCCCGTAGGGGATGCCTGGTTGTAAGCGGTGTAGGCTACGTACAAACGTGCAAACATGTGAGCCAGGGCTAGCTGGCAAGGCAGGGATGTCAAAATAGATCGACACATGTGACTTGAAAATAGACGCGAGGTCGGCGCGGAACAGCAATTTTGATAGCGTGACCCCGGATTTTTCTTTCCTCTGCTTCGGGCCCTCCTTCTCATCAAGACCTGGCTGGACCGATGGCGTGCGGTGAGAGGCCGTGCCAGCCATACCTAAAGGAATTGGACCCTGGAGGTCGAAGAGGGGGGTCACCTCTCCGAACAGAATTAACGTGACGTAAAAACGGTGGACCGGTTGAAGTGGCCGGCGGCCAGTCGGGCGGGAAACAAAAAAGGAGGAAAAAAAAAGAAGAAAAAAGGCAAAGGACCCCAACAATGTCGTCTCTGACAATGACGCTGTGGTTTCGGTCCTATGCACACGTAGGCTTTGCTGTGGGAGGATGGATGCGGCGTTCCATTATGGTAGGCAACGTGTGCACCTACAGTGGTAGGTAGTGAGTATAGGTAGTAATTGATTAGGTATTATTTATGTACAGAGTAGGAATAATGGTGCCATTGAAGCAAGGCAGGGGTCCTTCTTCCCCGCAAAATGGGCGGCAGAGAAGCGGGGACTATCTGCATTAGACCAGCAGCAGCTCTAGATGCTGCCGGGGCTTGTTCGCTGGTGCATGTCGTCGTCGTTTCGGCTGGTTCTGGTTCTAGGCTCTACCGTCGCAGCTCCCTCGGCTTGACATGGGTGCCAAGCGTCACAATGCTTCCCGGGTGCTGGGTTTGGTGAGGTACATGTCTTCCGCGGAGATGTCCGTTTCGGAGAAGGGAGAGGGGGGAATGTTGGCTTATGAGCAGACTGTAACATCAGTCAGCTCGTTGGATGACGGCATGGCGCTGGTTTGGCTCCATTTGTACGTAATGGAAAGAATGCGGCGCTGGCCAGGCCGACATTACGCGATTCTGGAAGCTCTACGGAGTATGTATTGGCACGTCCTTACCCGTGCCTGTTCCTTCGTCTCAACCGTTTGTCAATCTGCTTACGCACCTTGGCGCCTTCCGTCAGCCTAGTTGAGAGGCGGCTCATCTTTTGCCTGTCTTTGTCTGCCAGCCCAGCCCGTCGTTTCGCCGTGTCGTATTGCCCGGTAATTACTGCATCTTGTGCAGGAGAAAGTTTTCGTCGCCGCCGTCGTCGTCGTCGTCGCCGCCGCCGCCGCCATCGGTGTCCTGGCGGCTGACCGGTTCGCCGGTGATGGAGGTGTACGAGACAACGGTTGCAGCAGCTGCAGGTCTGGACTTTCAGCAGGAGCAGGTTCCGCCTCAAATTTCACATTAGCCTTTAGGGATGGATGCTCCACTGGGCCGCGTTTGCATCCTGCGACTCGACCCGGGCCCTTTGGAGAGTTTCGTTCCGTCTACTCCCCTCCCCTCCCTCCCATACATACTGGCCGCCGGCATGTTGCTGGGCGACAGGATGCAGCATGCTCGGGGGAAGGTGGCCACGAGACGCAGGTCTCGATGATGCTAATCCATCCTCGCTCGTCATGTTGCAGCATGTTGCGCCATCCGTACAGCAGGTGCCGGGCTGACAGTGACGATGAATCGACGACCAATGGCACCATTCGTGCAAGGCCGATGCGACGGAGCAGTCGGGCGTCTAACAGACCCTCGGATTCTGAGAGGTTGGCATCTCTGCAGCCGATGTGCATGAGAGGCCCTCGGAGCCAAAGAAGCGACGGCGTGGCCACGGTGCTGGGCTCAGCCTGGGACGTGCGAGTGTGGCACGGGTACATCACAGAGGCTAATCTCGGACCATGCAAGAGAGTATTAGGGGCCAGATACTAGTGCGCTGCGGTGGTGGTGGGAGAGCAGGAGCGCGTGTCTGGTTTTGCACCACATTTGCCCATCGTAGCGCAGGATTGCGATATTCCGATGGGGGGGCTTTTCTGCCTGGGAGCTAACGGTGGGGAGACACAATTTTCGGGACCAGGCCCATGCTTGTACGCCATGCGCATGCGTAGTTTACCTAGGCATTCTTACGTAGTAGTTCAGGCAGGTATCGCAAGTACTCAGTCAAGCATCCGGTAGGAAATTATAGCGCGTTGGCATCCGTAACCGGTCCGTATTCTGTCGCGTACAAGTTTTACGGATACAGTCGTTAGGCATCCGTAGTAGAGTGACCAAGGACAGCCAAAAGGGCTCGACGGCGTAGGTTTCTGTGCACCACGGCCGTTTGTGTGGAGCTCGGAGTTCGGAGCCACTAAAACAGGAAAATCAAGGAGCCGGGGGGGGGGAGAGAGAAAAAAGAGAAAGAAAGGGAAAGAAGAAAACTTTGCATAGTGTTGGGTACGGAGGATAACGTGGCATCCGTATCGGGATGGATTCCGACAACAGGCCAGTGTCGACGGCGTGTGGAGACGCTGATTTGCGCTGGGGGTTGGCCGGCGCGATATTGCTTAAATCCAAGGCACCCCGTTCCGTGATGAGAGGTCAGTGTACGGAGCACGGATACGGATACTAGGTATCTCTCTTATCTGATGACGGCGGGTCGAGCAGAAAGGATGGGGGAGTAGGTATCCGAACATACATAGTACACTATCCGTACACTACAGCACCTCAGCTATCTTGGGGCAACAATGGGAGACTACGGATACTAAGCGTACATAGTAGTATATCTAGTACGGTATCCGTACATGTAGTTTAGACAGGCAGACAGAAGCCAATGGATTCATTCATTGGCCCGGTTGGCATTCCGGACTTTGTATCATTGGCCAGCGACAGCCTTCAGTCGAAGCCAATACTGCCTGCCATGCAGCGTTGATGCGGAACGGCGCAGTGTTAGTACCTAGTTTGCACCTAGCTAGCTGGGTGCTGGCCTACTAGGTGAGGTACGCCTACACTGTGTCCCGAGAGGGATTCTGATGGACGGAAGCCTTCCATGGCCGTGAGTGAGTAAGAAGTCTGGGTCCGGTCCGGGTAGGAAAGAGGGAGAGTGGGGAGGGGTGTATGCAAAAGTTGCAAAAAGATAAGGAAAATTTTTCCAAGGCACGCACCTACTGCGTACAGCTACGTAGCAAAGTAGGTACCGGTAGGTACTATGTGGGTTGGTAAGCCAAGTAACCCGCCGCACTGCGAAAGAAAGGGGGGGGGAAGGAAGGATAACAAAAATTGGAGACAAGTGAGGAGCGGTTTCCCACTTTGGGTAGGTAGACTCCTAAGGTAAGAACAACCGTGCAAGCGAAACGCTGAGCCAACCGCAGCCAACCTCTTACATAATAAAGCCAACCTTGGGTAAATTACACTACATAGTAGAGTCCTGACTTTCCTTACTGGAGCGGCGGACAGACGGCATGGACTGGATATCCAGGAAGAGGAGAGACAAAAAAAAATGTTGCGATTGCGGCGGCACTGGGAAGGCCCCAGCAGTGTACAGTGTTTTCATACAGTACGGGTACTTGCAGTTGGAGTCTTCTCCTCCACTGCACTGTCCACTGCACGTGTGTTACCCATGTATGTTACACTACTTCTCCATCTCTCCAACTCCCTCTTGCTGCTGCGCTTCCCAGTTTCTTCGTCACCGAGTTGATGAGCGTGGAGTGTATCCATGGTGTACGGATTCTGTACGTTACCTACTCCACGTAAAGTACAGTAGGTACGTTGCAGCCACGGTCAGCCCTCCCGGTCTCGGTTGATGCATCACCCGATTCAGTAACCAAGTACCCGATCCGAGGCCGTCACAGGCTGGAGATGCAACGGTTGGAGCACGGTTTCTCGAAGTTGCTGGAGAGCGTCGGCTGGCAAGGAGGAGGAGGAGGAGGACGACAGGCACTTGGCAAAGCAGGGAAGGTACCGCGTACACGTGCCTCATCCTCGATACCGTATCGGTCCAAGTAGGTAGGCGTACAGGCAGAATCCCATGGATGGATACCATGCCAATCATTCGTACCTCCCTCTCCCATCCATCCATCCTGGTTGGAAGAAACTTTCCATCACCTTGCAGTTTCCAATTCATTACTCGATAGCCCGTGGTAATGTAATGTAATGTGATGTGACGTACTGCGGTAACGCTATTCTGCACCTTATCATCAGTGTTTGCAAGCCATATTTGTCTGTCCTATAGCACATAGCAATGTCCAGCATTGTTCCATCTCGTCCCATCGGCGGCTCCCCCGAAAATTAAAAAATTAAAAAAAATTAAAACAGCCATGCATCCAGTACAAGTAGTGTAAAGCAGGCCTGCCTGCCTGTTTGGTTGTTTGCTTGTCTGCTTCCTTGCTTCCCCTCCCGACGACCCCCGGGGCCGGCCATGCTTCCCGGGCCTCCATGGATGATGGCTTGAACTTGTGTGCATGTGTGTGGCGTTTCCGCTCGATGGAGCCCCGTTGTTGCGCTTGCATCAAGGTCCAAAGGAAAAAACGCAACCTGCTCACCCTCGTGGCCGCCGGCGCGAGGATTCAATTATTAACAGAAAAGGGCCAATCCACCAAATCGAACCGTCTAGTTTCCCTAGTTAAAATCCAAGTTTCTCTTGGTCGTTTTCGTCTCCCGACTCTACTCGTCCCGTCCCGTTCCGTTTGTCGTCCTTGAGTAATCAATCCTACCTGTTCGTACACACACACTACAAATATAAAATAGAATAAAATATGTACCAATACATCGACACTTGACCGCCGTTGTCATCGTCTCGGCCGACCTCATTATCTACTTACCTTACCTACCTACCTAGCACACAGCTAAGAGAGCAAACCCCACCCTTGCCCGCCTCTGCTCACTGACACACACATATTCCTCGACTTTTCCTATTCCGTTTGCCCGTTTAATCTTTTCGAGACTTCGCTGCTCTTCTTTTCCCTCCCCCCCCCCCAAACAACCTGCAAGTCTACCGTTGACTTACACGCAGTTGTCCTGCTGCTCTATTTATTCGTCATCAACCGGACCGGCAGAAACCACCATCATCATCACCCCCGCCGCCGCTCCCTTGCACGGCCCTGGACGATACAGCATCACTTGTCCGTTTCCAGTTGGTTAAATCACCACCACACACGGACTGACTAGAACCGGCTCCGAAAGCTTTGATGCTCCTCAACTAAGGTCATCTGGTCCTCAACCCCTTCTGCCTTTACCTAGAACGCGTTGGGTCCTTGTCTTGGTCTACATAGTATTCCTATCTAACCCCTCTCGCCTTGGCAGCCTGGGCGCTCCGCTCCGATCTCTTACCTTCTTCTCAAGGTTCGACTTCACATAAATCAACCCCATATCTCTCAACCACGCTGCATACGAGCCCTTGCCGCCTGCAATCAAAGAGCCGCCTTTCGAGGCAAGTGGAAGGCCATCGCGATAAAAAAAAAACCAGCACGATCCAAGAGCCCCCCCCCCCCCTCAGGAAAAAAAAAACTATCATCTGATCCGACCACTACCCACTGTGCCGTGGATCTCGCGCTTTCGCCCTTTCTGGCCATACCCGACCCTGTCCTGTATCAACCCATACACCGCTGTGAGGCATTCAATCACCCTCGGAACCACCAGCTTCGCATCAGATTTCCACGCCGAACTCCAATCCAGTTCGTCCGCGCAGCTCCCAGGCAATCTGGCCAGTGACGCTCCAACTCCCATACAGGGTCACGACCAACCACTAATTCCTCCGATTGGTCGACCTTACCTTGCACTGTGAGCATTCGGATGCAGATTGTTGTTGGACAGCCCAGGAACGACAGCAAATCCAGCGAGCACGCACATCATCATCACCCTGACGAGGTTGTCCCGACTAGACAAGTCGACCAACAGCAATTGCACACTTGACTGAGACCAGAGGATACATACACACGCACATACACACACACCCTAGTCTCACTCACCCTTACACGCATCGCTCACTGTTTCTTTCACACACACACACACACACACACATACACATACACACAAACGCGCGCGCGCATACTTATCTGCCACATTCCCTCAGCTGCTTCACGCTTCGCGGCACCTCACTATCCACTCACCATCAAGCTGCCTCGTCTCATTTACGTGCAGACACCTCCTCCAATCATTCTACAGCTTCGGCAGCTGCCAACTTCCAGCTCTTGGACGCTTATCTCAGGAACGCCCGGGGTCAGTACGAGACAGCGTGCGACAAACCCCGAGATATCTCTCTTCTGAACTGCGGACTGCTGCCTCATCCCGACAAATTTCCCTTATCAGCATCGTCGACGAAGACGACGACGACGACGACGACTGCCCTCTGCTCTTCTCTCCCGCATTCCCACATCCCCCCTCCCCCCCCCCCCCCCCACAGACCAGACCGGGATAGCACCTTCATCACCTCCGCCGACGAACGCAGCCTAGCCTGCCATCCGTTCGTTCCCCCAGATCTTTTGATCGACACCTTGGCCTGAACAGGCTTACTACCTACCTATCTTGCACATTGGCTTCTTGCTGGGGTCAACCCCGCCACCGACCCAAGGGGGGAAAAAGGAGCTCCTCCCCTTTTGATAGCACCGTTGGCTATCTATCTCGCCATTCCTCCCCTCAATCGCACCCCTCAGGGTTCTTGAATCATACGGGTCCGAGAACCGCGTTTTACTACCTTTCTCCTCCCTACCCCGACGGCTCACCCTGTCACCTCACCTCACCCTTCCACCGGCCACTCTCAGTCAGCTTCTGTCCCGTGTCCCTCACCCTCGCCGACGCAGAGACTAGAGACCAGACCTACACTTGGCCCGTTCGGTCCTCCCCTATTTCGCGATAGCCCTCCCGCCTGCTATAGGTTCGAGGCTACGTATCCGTTTGTCATGGTTAATATCTCTCTTTAAAAACATTCCCATAAACCCCGACCCCTGCGACAAAGGCCGCTTTCGGGATAACCAGCCCACCAAACCCAGCTTCACCACCACCACCACCAGCACATCGCTCTTCTTCTCCGCAAACCCGGAGACCGACCGCACTTACACCCTTCCTACCGCGCAGCCCATTCTCCGGGGAAGAATAGCGGGGTTGACTTGACGATAAGCCCTTGCATCAGCGACTCTTTTTTTTTCGCCGACTCAAAACTCTTTCTTGCGCTGCTGCCGACCACTCGGTCCTTATTTTTTCTTTTCTTTTTCTCTTGCTCTTCCCCGCAAGAACAGTTTTGCATCGGAGACCCCTAAATGGTGACCTTGATGCCTTCCCAACTCAATGGGATCGGGATCCCTATCCGGCCCGCCAAACAGCAGCAACAACAACAGCAACAACAGGATCACTCAAATCACCCCTACCACGGCGACTCGGCCGTTTACAGCACCTTCAGGACGCACAAACACTCGCGCTCATCCTACTCCGAATCGTCACCTCTGGCCTCCTCGAGGAACAACTCCTTGACGTTCCGCCCCTTCAAGCGCCCAATGCCCAGCCCCAACAAGACGATTGCCGTCATCAACGCCAGCGGTCGTCAGGCCGCCTCGTTCATCAGAGTCGCCACTGCCGTGGGCTATCACGTCCGCGCCCAGCTGCGGAACCTTGAAGGTGTCGTGGCAACAGAGGTCAACTCAAACCCTAACGTCACGGTCCTTGTCGGCGAGTTGTACACTCGACACAAACCCACGCCGGACAACAGAGACGTGACAACCAACGGTCCCATTTCCGGCGTCGGTGTAAACCACGACCTAATCAAGGAGCTCTTCCGTGGCTCCCAGCTTGCTTTCATCAACACAACCTTTTATGGTGACGAGTTGGAGATCGGGAAGGCGCTCGCCGATGCCGCCAAAGTGGCCGGGGTTCAACATTATGTTTACTCCTCCATGCCGGACCACGCAGCCTACAATACGGACTGGCCGTCGTTGCCCCTATGGGCAGCCAAGCACAAGGTCGAGGAGTACGTGCGCTCCATTGATCTGCCTTCCACCTTCGTCTACACTGGTATCTACAACAACAACTTCACGTCGTTGCCGTACCCGCTCTTCTGCATGGAACTCCAGCGCGACGGCTCCTTCCAGTGGCAGGCTCCCTTCCACGAGGATGTGAAGCTGCCATGGATCGACGCCGAGCACGACATTGGCCCCGCCATTCTGCAAATCTTCAAGGACGGCGTGTCAAAATGGCGTGCAAAGCGCATCGCTCTGGCATGGGAGATGCTGACCCCTCGTGAGGCTTGTGAGGTTTTCGCCCGAGGCGTTGGGCGCCCCGTCAGGTATATCCAAGGCCCGATCGAGCTCAAAGTCAAGATTCCCACCGGATACCGCCAGCAACTCGAGGCGCTGGAGAAGCTGTTTTCGCTTGGCCACCGGGACCCCAAGGAGCAGCCTCCGTACTTTGGCGATGTGGAGCTGGAGAACAACTGTCTCTCTCAGTCCATGGCGCTGTGGGAAGGCCCGCGGGGACTCGAGGAATACGCGCGGGAAGTCTTCCCTCTCGAGGAACAAGCCAACGGTCTAACATGGATGTTGGAGGAAGAGGAGGAAGTGCCCGAAGACGAGGTCACGTCAGCTACCCGTCAGAGGGACCATGAAGTGCAACAAGAAGCAGACGAGGAGGAAGAAGAATACTCGGACAACGAGGACGACGGTTTGGTCATGAGAGGTTTGAAGAGAGACGAAGAGGAATGGCTCGCATGAAGGATCGGAGCATGATCGAGGCCGCAGGACCACTTGGGCTGGACGGCCGTGAGCTCGAGCGACCGTGAAGCACACCACACATCCGTACACGACATACACATAGCATGCGGCGGCGTCCGGGCGACGAAGACGGAGGTGAAAACGAAAGGAACGGTTGGGGAAAAAATGTGCGTTTGGAGGATTCGATTTTCTTTTCGGGTCATGTTTGTTGTTGCCCAGCAGTGTACCTCCTGGCTGGGCAGGCTTGTTTGTGTGATGGTGTTGACAACTCATCCCCTCGAAATCGTTCATACGGGGGCTGGCATGGCGTTGCATGGTTGACAAAAAGACAAAAAAGGGTGGCGAGTAATGCAGAGCTCGCTGGTATTTGGTGTTTTGATTTAGTCTCGTCGTTGTATGACAGCATCGCGGTACGAAGAAGGACAGAGTGGAAAGAAGCGGGGGGCAATGGGCCAACAGTTGGTTCTATCATTACAATACATATATGCAAAGCCTTTGTTGATCCCAGCCACCCAAGCACATGACGTGAATGAGACGGGGGCGGAGAGAGGAGAGGTGTGGAGGTTTAAGGGGGCACAACGGAGCCGGGCAAGGGGAATTTCCTCATTTATGACGGCGGTTGTTCGTCGGTTGTGACCGACCCAGAACGTCACTTGTGTTGTACGTGTCTGCCCTGATGCCGCGCCGTCCAAGTCCGAACCCCTTGCTCGCAGCGTGGGGGTCCATTTCCCTTTGGTAATGGTGGGAGGCCGGCCCAGGCCGGTGAGCCGCGTGGGAGGAACGGGCGACACTCGCTACAGCGGGGGGTGGGGGGAGGGGTAGGTAATGCCCGGGGCCGTGGATTTGCACAAGGGGCCCGGAAGATGCATGAGATGACTTCATGTCTACTCCATGCTTGGTCCTTCGGGTGACGCAGGCATCTGGAGGGAGGGGGGGGCGGAATGGTTGCGGTACACATCTCCAGGTTCGCATGGTCTCACAACAACAGCTAATTGTTTGATATCACAACACAGGGCGGTCGCAATAGAGTCTGCGCGGTTAATTTGACGATGGGAGACACTAAAGATAGCGCGTGCGGAGAACGTTCTTATAGGAGAACTTCTAGAAGCGTAATCCCTCCCCTCCCTGAGTCAAGTCTGGCAGCCCTGCACCGGGGGGGGCCCTTGAGAATCGGGCCTGGCCTTGTGTGAAAGCGAAAGAAGGTGTAGATAGGGGGACGGGTCCTCTGAGGTCGACCCGATTCGTGCTATCCGATAAGGAAACAAGGTTTTTCTTCCCTTCTTCTTTCCCCTCCATTCTCGAGGGGGAAGCAGGCTTCGATACTCACTGAAGAAGGAAACAAAGGCAGAGCTGTTGTTTATGGAGCTTCTTCAACCCCCCGCGTTTGATCAAGTTGATGTCATCCTCCGGCACAGCGCACTTTGTCCCACTTCGTCCTATCCACCGTCGACAAGAACGATGTTTGTCCCACTGGGGTGGTCTCCGGCACCGAGAGCCCGCAAAGGATATGCAACCAGAGCGTCCCTCGACTCGTGATGCAGCCCTCGATCCACCAGGGGAAGGGATAGGGGGGAGAACATCCAGACCACGCGCTGGCATTTCCCAGCCATCGTGGAAATATGGGCTCTGACCAAAGTACACATGACCGCGAGGTAGGGGGACGCCCTCCTGGGGTGAAGGGACGATGTCACTGGCAAGGGTAGGGGCTCGTTCCATCATCCCCTTATCGCACCTGGTCCCCCGCCCCCGGGTGCGCGCGTACTCATCTGGCATGCCCCCTGGCCAGCCCACTTGGCACAATGTTCTGTCGAGATCCGCGGATGCTTGACCCGAGATAGCTTTTCATATTGCATTTACTAAGGCACCTAGGCTGCAGAGGACTGCGCTAGGCATGCCCTCAGCGGACGCCGCCTGGGCCGGCGATGTACTCTCTCCCTCGGCGTCCTCTTCGGTACAGGCCTCCTTGGGTGTGCCCACGAACCGTGGGGGGGTTTTTTTTTTTCCTTCTTTTCTTTTGACACGAATGTGTTCCGGGGGTCGCTCCTGCTCAACACTCGTTGGTGAACGTCCACCCTTCTTTGAGGTGGGAGACTGATGCTTAAAGAGGTGTTTAGGACCACACAAAGACGACAAGTCCTGTCCGGCCGCACACCCAGGGGGATCCTGTGGTCGTGAGTATAGCCAACATGAAGCCGTGTACCCTTTGGCCCTCGGCTGCATGCTGTACCAGTCATCTCACGTCGGGTCCCATTGTTCCCGTATGTTACCCCTGGACGGGCAGGACAGAAGCGCGGCGGAAGGTCTTGAACCCCCATGCCCCCACGACTCCCCTGCAACGATTTGTTTCCTCTCGGATAACGAAATGAAGACACAGGTCAAGATGGCTTTGCGGCGGCTTTCATATATATCTGGGAGTGCTACGCTCTCTGTACTTTCCAGATCAGGGGCACATGACGTCCGACCACCATCTAAGAACCATAAGCAACGCATCACCCAATGTAATGAAAACGATAGACAGGAAGGACTAAGGAACGGACCGTGAGGCATACGACCGGCTTGATGCACAGATGACGTGAGGTATTCCGGTTCATAGGGGGGCGGGCTGCGGGCCCTAGCACAGGGGGCATTGCGGGCTCACAGGAAAGACTCCCAACGACCAAACCGTGGGTTTCGAACGGCGGCCGCCTCGTTTGCTAGCGAGGAATCGCCCTGCGGGGCCTCATCGTTGGGTGTCGACGTATCGCGGCCACGTTGTCGGGGCTGCGCGTGCTCTGCGAGGGGCGTTGGCTGTTCGTTGCCGCCTTGCCTCACGTGTCGCCACTTGCTTTGATTCGTCCCGTTTTGACCATTACATTCATGTAATGGTGTGCCGAGTACTCCGTACCTAGTTATAGTAGCGGACGACATGTGTAGACGAATGGGGTCACGTTCCGAGTAGGGCTGGCTTCGGCTACATTGGTTGAGCCGGGAGCCAGGTACCACAGGCATTGACATGTTGCGACAACAGCCAAAGAGTCGTCTGAGCAGCGCCATGACATGCTATTCACTACTTTCAGAGGAGTCGTCGTGTTGGGATGGTACGGGGACTGGAGATGTATAGCACTTTAAGCATCCGACACCTGCTACCCATGCTTGATACCCATCCGCAACGCCTCGCCCGCGAGGGACGAAGGCTTAGGTGTCGGTGGCGTTGCCAAGCTCTTCGTCCACTCGGGCCAGGCGTGGTTCTTGTTCAAAAACAGAACGTCCGTAGAGTTCAGTAAACCGTCTTTTGCAGAGCACATGGCATGATGTATGCGTTCCCGTTTGATAGGTGACGACATTGGCGGTGGCAACTCCCTGGATATCTGTTGCATTCGTACTTCCACTGCTGTGCTCAATAGTCGGTCCTTATACCTTTTCTACGTGTTGTTCTTTTGGGGACCTCCAAACAAGAGTGCGATGATGGCTTGGAATCAGAACCCTTCATACCTGCCGCGCTGGTATCATGGGTTGCAGAGTTAAGCCTAACCGCGACGCTTGTTTTTCCCAACTGCCTCAAAAGACGAATAACAACGCCCTTATCACGATGAGATGACCAGCACTATTATATTTACAGCCCTGCCTATCATGTCGCCAGTCGGGAGAGCGCGGTCAGGGCGCCCGCCCGCCCGCTTATCAGCCCGCCCGACTCGTTGAAATTACCCCCTGATAAGCCCACCCGTCACCCTCACGGACAGGTGAAAAGTTTTCGTTGGGATCGGTACCGTAATTAATGGAGGCTGACCTGGTTCCGTCTCTTGCAAAACGTATCCCGAGCTTAGAGGCGGCCCCTCTGATATCATACACGACCTCACCCCGTTCGCCTCTTCGCGCTCGGTGAAGAAGAGCGGGGACTCAGTACTCGGCCTGTTGACCTCCATACGAAGAGAGACAATGACTGGGGTCCGCTAAACCGCTGTTCATAGAGGCGAGGATGCTGGTTCGTGTTGAGGCCGAGTAGATCGATTTCTGTCACGGAGACCCCAGTTCTTCGGTCCGCCTAATATCGAACGCTTCTCTTATAACGCACAAGCTCGGTAGTGTTCAACCCCATGTCGGCATTTTGCCGCGCCGAATCGATCGGCACGGGGCGGCGTTGAGTTGGACTTGCACAGTTCCGTCTCCCAGGGACATCGCTTCTTCAGCCGAGTTTCTGCTGAGCAGGCGACAAAGTCGTTCTATTGCTAGAGCCCCGAGGATGGGACGTTCCACTTTGCAGACCTGCATTTGGCTGGAACGGAGTCAAGAGTCCTGGGTCCCTGGGACTCGTTCAGCTGAGCGCTGCGAGTGGACCGCTCTTCCAAACATCAACCAGGGCAAATGAAACCGACAAGGATAAGATAATTCAACAGGTAGATACAAAAAAACGAAACATGGTTGGAACATATTGCTAGCTTGTCGCAAGCAGTGAGGAATGCGATCCTTCAGCCCTTGTCAGGTACGTCTTATCGAGGGTCCTGCTTAAAACTAACGAATAAACCACAACAGTGTCTATTAACCAGCGAGATATTATAACACGCCTGAGCTACACAGTCAAGTAGTACTACCCCTTGATATGAGTACCTGGCTGTGACTCCTCGCCGGCAACGTCCTTCCCGACGTGGCCCTCGGGCAACTCGTTCATCTCGTCCTCGTCCTCGTCCAAGCCCCTGAACTGGATCCAGAAGATGACGCCCGCCACAGCGGCCAGCACGGCCACGATGCCGTAGTTCCACACCAAATACGGATCGGTGCTCAACGGCGTGAAGGCCTGCCCGAGCGCCGCCGAGATGGCGGACATGAAGAGCGCCACGGCCTGGACCATGGACCTCATGTTCCGCGGCGCCTTGCTGAACGCGTACTCCAGGCTGGTGATGCTCGCAAAGATCTCTGACAGCGCGATGAGGACGTACGCCCCAGTCTGCGCCCACACTAGGATATCGACGGGCGGGCAGGGGTCGCCGTTGGGCAGGTTCCCCGAGGCGAAGCTCCCGCACGCAGAGCGCTGATAGATGTAGTACTGCAGTACGCAGGCCCAGATCATGGCGGCGGAGCCGGTGAAGAAGCCAAAGGCGATCTTTTTGATGGGCGTGAAAGGGATTTTGAGCTTGCGCAGGGTCGGGTATAGGACGAGGTCGCAGAGGGGGATGAAGAGAATCAGCGCGATGGGGTCGAGGTTGGAGAGGATGTCGTTGGGGAGGCCGTTGAGCTTCATCGTGGCGGCCTGCGAGACGAGGTTGTTGTTGACTATGGGAGGGCATGTCAGGCACGTAGATAGGGTCCAGGTCGGGGGAGGGATGGCCTACGTTGATTGTAAGAAAGCCAGTAGATGGGATACCATGAGAATACGGCACAGGCCGCAAACCCACGACGTCTGCTAAGATCAGTACATCGTCGACAGAGAAAGGATAGGAAAAGACTCACAGCTCGTCAACCCAGGCATCGTCAAAGGTCATCCAATTCGGCCGAGTTGCGTGGGAGAAACTTGATGGCTTGACCGACTCCCAAAAGGTCCCGTCGTGCATGTTCTTCCACGTCCTAAAGGGGTTGATCGACCACCTTCCCCTCTGTGCGTAAAGAAACGTCCGAATAGCGGGCCCCAATACCGAGCCCGCGGGGGGCGTATGGCGATATCTGTCCTTCCCCCACCACATGACCAACGGGCACAGCGCCAGCATGCACGTCGGCAGCGTGAAGCTGAGCCAGAAACCCACAAACTTCTCGGCATACACCATCGAGATCTGTCCCACGAGCGCGCCGATGTTGATAAACAAGTAAAACCAGTTGTAGACCCTGTTGATCGTGATGGCCGGGTCGACGATAACCTTCTCCCCGGAGGGCAGTGTGCGGACGCTCAGATGCTCGATGTCGAGCTGCTCAATAATGAGCGGGTTGATGTTGGGCTTGAAGCCGCCGGTGGCGAATCCGATGGTGATCATACCGATAAGCAGAGCGGAAAGGGAGTTGCCCGCGGGTTTCGTAATGACGGGCGGGACGGCAGCGGCGATGAGGATACAGTGGCCGACCAGGTCGACAGCGATGGAGATGCAGATGGTCTTGTAGCGGCCCCAGTACTTGTCGGCGACCCAGGCGCCGAATAGGGGCATGAAGTACTGCCAGAACTGGTTGAAGGTTGTGATACCCGTAGAAGCGCGCTGGCCCATTCCCAGGGCCCCGGGCTGGCCATGGATAGCGGCGCCGGTTGTCGAGCCTGCCGGAAGGGGTTGCTGGATGAAGTTGGTGACTGGATATGGTTAGTACCGATCATGCGAGGGTTTTTGTTTCCTGGTCACACATACACTGCGTCAAGTCAGCAATTACAATTCTGAAATCGAGATGAGATGGCTTACAACGATGACGGAGCCATAATAGGAGAAGCGCTCGCACAGCTCGACAAAGGCGATGGTGAAGAGCTTGAACGGGACGTGATCAGACACTCGTCTGAGAGTGTGCAATTCCTCTTTTGTCGGCGCATCTGGTCGCGTCTGGGTTTCTCTCTTCTCATCCAGAGATACGTCTTGGCGAAATTTCATTTCATAGAAAGTCTCCCTGGGCTTAGTGCCCGGGTGAGAGTGTTCAATCGTGTCTCCTGCAGACATTGTGCCTGCGTTCTCGCTCCGCGATAACAAAATATGGTACAAATTTGCGGTCTTAGGACCATTGTGTCAGATGACCCAATGACGGTGGGCGCTCAACGGTATATATGGAGAGGCCTGGCCGGCTGATGTATGAAACACTGCGTTCAGAGCCATGCGAGAGACAGGGTTGGAAAGGGATCGATATCTTGGGGAAAAGGAGACGCCAAGGATAAGGATTGGCTCGTGAAGACATGGGGAGTCGAGTACGCAGGGATACTTGGGCGAGAGTAAAACGGCGAAGAATCGACGGTTGCGTAGCAATCGCGGCGGGGGAGGGGGAACACCACTCGGAAAGCGGCAGGTTTGGAGGCAAGTAGGCCTGAACTCAGGGGGCGAGTGTAGGAGACACCAGATGAGATGAGAACCAGATGGTCGGATTCCTGCGGTCTCCAACTTGGATTGCTGCGCACACTGTAAGAGGTTTCTTGACGACGCATAGAGTTTTGGGCAACGGTTGGTGATCTGGTGGTGTCGAGCTATATGGTCTTTCAACATTGGTTTTGGGCGCGTTGTCTCTTGCCAACAAGTATCTGGCCGTTCTGCGCCTTGGAAACGGGGGTTTGTTAAGAATTTTGAGTGGCTGCTGGAAGCAAATTTATACATAACATTTCTTTAAGACCTACTGGTAGCCTTGGCAGCCCTTTGGATCGAACCGGGTCATAACAAGCCGAAGGACTCTTACGGGCGCTGTGATGTTCTAGTCGCCTCTTTTGACACCTAGTTGTTTATGGACTGCGGCGGCGGATGAAGTTATTGAAGTGACGCCCTGCGAGTCAAGAGATTTGATAGAACCCTATGAGACCATACATAAAGAAGTCAACTGGAGTATTGTACTTACATATTCGCCTTCTCCAAGGCCGTTACAAAGTGCACGCTTGACCTTGTTCCTTGTCTCGTCTCCGGAGTCAGGATCAAGTAGCGTGACATTTGTTTTATGAAACCTTCCACGGCGCCTGGAATCTAAAGGCAGTTAGTTTGCAAGAGGTCGAGAGATAAGAAGCAAACTTGCTTTTCAAGTGTTTCACGTTCATCGCATCTTGGGTATCCGCAAGAGAGTACCCTAACCTCCATGGCCTGAGCTTTGAATCGCATTAGCAGATCGCATCAGCATGACGCCTGGGCTATTGCGCGCAGGATGGAGTACAAACATAGTAGGCTGGACAGCTAGAACGCCTCCATCCATGCGGAAAATATCTCTACCAGATCTTATACGAACTGGAAAATATAGCTAAAGAAACGAATGACGGGCCGTAGGTATTCCCAATGTCTGACCGAGTCTCTGGTCGTCCTATCTCTGCTTTTGTGTGATCGGTCTCTGGACTCTCAGGTCAATGCTAGCCGTTAGGTTTTGTCAAGCTGATATATTGGTTTTGTCAGAGACACGAGGTCGAGTCCCGGTTGTAAAATGAATGGTTGTTTCTGTATACCCTGCAACATATGCTGGAGTTCGGCAACATGCCAAGCTTTAGTCGGGCCCCGGCGTCTTGCCCCGGTTCGCGGAGTGCTTAGCCGTTGATGTGGAGTCGAACGACGTTGATATCGGGTACAGCCCTCCGAAACTATATGATTTGCCGAGGGAATGTAAATCTGGGCCAGGTGGAAAGTCTTTGAGTACTTACCAGATGAGATGTTGGTTGCGTGCTTGCGTGATATCCAAGACAGGGGTCTCACGTGGAGTCGTCCTCAGAGTTGTAATTGAGACCGTCACGCAATTGGTTCGCCGGTTAGATGCATGTCTCTCACCTGCAACTACAACGCTTCAAGTGCAGCCTCACCGACACGTACTGCCGGTATTCGAAGCATCGACAAAATAGTCCAGGTAGAGGTGGCTTTGCCGTCTGCTTGGCATTATTGAGTAGTAATTCAGATAAGCGTTCGGAGCGACCGAACTGTGAGTTCGAAGTGAGAGCAGCGATAGCCGTAGCTCAACATATATGGCTTATAATAGGCCTAATTTCCTCCTCATCTCGGTCATTTGAATCCGTCCGCAAAGATCGTGACCAGAGCCGTCCTCTTCACGCCTCCTAATCATAATCTCCACCTCCTTTAGAACTTGCCCTTAAGCAAGTTGGCAATCATCTCGCGGCCAGTAATGCGCGTGGTCTTCCACAGGGTAGGGAAGTCGAGAGTGCTAGACAAGCCATCGGCAAAGCCAAAGAAAAGCATGGGTGGGATCCAGCCGCGGGCGTACTCAAGGGCAAAGCAACCTTCGTCCATCTTGTACTGCTTGACGTCGCCGCGGCGCAGGTGGTGGACGGTGCCCTGAGGGTAGACCTCAGCCTCGTAGGCGCCGGGGACGTAGGCAAGCTGGGTGCCGTAGAGGATGTTGAAGTAGTCGTCGGCGGTGTGGCGGCCAGTGTGACCCTCGGTCCCGATGGCAGTGCCAAAGACAATGAGGTACTCGGTGATGCCTAGAACAGGACGCGTAAGTATATCACGATTGGCAGAAGACTACAAGGAGTGCGACGTGACTTACTGGCATGGATGATGTACATGGCGCCCATAGCACCGCCGGCGTTGTTAAAAACCCATTCCTCGTCGAGGTTGACGTGCTTGGGGTTAATGCCGTTGAGCTCGGTCACGATGTAGTTGACGACAGACCGGGTGTCGTTTCCGTGCGCTGCAATGGCACGCTTGGAGAGGTCATGCAGGTGCTGGTGGTCGAAGATGTAGAACTTCTCCAGGTTTTTCTCGAGGAACATGTAGATGGGCGTCAGCAGACCGATCCACAGCGCCAGTGTAAACAACCGGCTGAGGGACGCCATTTTGATAGTTGAAGAGTCTAAATCACACAAGATGGGATCCGAGGGGGAAAAAAAGAAAAAGAAAAAAGGAATGTGATGGCCCAATTAGCAGTAAAATGTGGGGAGTAGGAGGAGGAGGAGGAGGTGCGGAACTGGGGGAGTCTTGCGACGGAAGCACCGGCGATATTTAAGAAAGCTTGGTTGAGCTCCAGCGAGAAACCGTCGCATCGCCATTTGTTTTGGTTGAGGATTGGACCCTGCATTTTGATCCTTCAAGGATCTTTCTGCCTTGCGCCACCGCCTGCTTTCCATTGACCTGACAGGGTCTAGTGTACCTGAGCACTCCGTACCTACCCGACCTTAGTAGGTAGGTACGGAGTACTAGGTATTAGGTTCCACTAGCTGCAGCTGTCCGGGTAGCGGGGCCCCGGGCAGCACCTCTCTCGTCCATCCATCCATACGGCAGGCGGGTTGCGGGACCGCATCATTGAAAATTTCGGACATTCGGGTTTTCACGACACCATAGCAACGGGACCGACTTTCAGAGCTCAGTCTTACACACGGAGCTGACGAGGTTCTCAACGGGGGTCAACTCATAACTCGCTTACTCGTTTTTCCGTCATCTCCACCTCGCCTCTTGCGACAACAGTTAGCAGGTGCGAATACGACATCCACCCAGCTCTCAGTCTCACACACGTCATACACGCACATACACACACACACACACCTACGTCCAACATGGCCACGGATGAAATCCCCCAGACCGCTGTGCCGGGCAAGATCCTAGGCCCGACGACGCGGTACGCCGCCGGCCCGGGCACGCACGTCTACAACGGCAACGTCGTGGCCTCGCTGCTGGGCGACGTGACGGTGACCCCGTCGGCCAAGGCCCAGACGGGCCTCACGAAGCGCCTCAACCGCATCACACAGCTGTCGGCCGACGAGTTGGCGACTATCTCGGTGGCGCGGCGCGGCACTAGCAAGAAGCGCGAGGTGCTTCCGGACGTCGGCAACATGGTACTATGTCGTGTCGTGCGCTTGATGCCCAAGCAGGCCATCGTGACAATCCAACAGGTTGGTGATACGGTGCTGCAGACCGAGTGGCAGGGCGTCATCCGTTCGCAGGACGTGAGGGCGACGGAGAAGGACAAGGTCAAGATCTACGAGAGCTTCAAGCCGGGCGATGTGGTGCGGGCCCAGGTGGTAAGTTTTTTTCTCCTTTTTTTTTTTTTGTTCCTTTCCCTTCTCTCTCGCTTGTCCATGATGACATGTGACGAGAGTACGTAGATGGCTGACTTGGAGTGACAGATCTCTCTGGGAGATCAGGCGAATTACTACCTCTCCACCGCGGCCAATGAATTGGGCGTCATCATGGCCACTAGTGAGGCTGGCAACGACATGGTGCCGGTGAGCTGGAAGGAGTACAAGGACCCGGAGACGGGCGTCGGAGAGCCGCGCAAGGTGGCCAAGCCGAACTGACGGGGCCGGCTCTCAGCTATCCGCAACTCGGCGCAGAGCCACTTGGGCAGCGCGACGAGCAGGCCTACTGGGCCCTGTACCGAGTCGAGGGTTCTCGGAAACAAGAAGCAAGGCAATAGAGTCTTCAGCTCTGCCTCACCAACGAGGCTGAGGTGTTTCCGCTGCCGAGCAGGGAGGAGCCCTTGTGGCGTTTCGAAACGGGAGTCCGGGCATGACGACCATGAAAGCGGGTTCCGCTGGCGGTTTCAGGACCTAGAGCCAAGCCAAGGGCCGGCTTACCGGGCGCGTAACTGCCACCCGGACAGGCGCAGCCTTCTTATATTTCTTCTGAAGCTGCTACTGCATGACATTTCGACGAAAATAGAGCAAAGATCAACCACCAACGGTCGTCCGGATAGAGATGACGTCTGCAGGAGTACTCTTCGCGTGCATTGTGGCAACAGCATTGAGCACCCGAGGTCAAAGGGCTGCTTGATGGGCAGTCCGACGTGGGAGCTTATTCATGCAAGGGTGACGATCGAGAGGTGTCACAAACTGGGAATGGGTTTTTGACGCAAGGATGGGCTAGCGTAGGGAGGACAGGAAGACAGGAAGATAAAACAAACAAATAAAAATAAAAGGCCGCCGGAGGTTTGCAGTCGTCGAACAGGACAGTACATCACCGCCCATCCATCAGCCCTAACTTGCCGTTCCCGTCATGACACGGACGATATGGATACACATAGCCAGACATTCCGCAGTTGGCCTTGCCTTGGAATTAAGTAATGGTCCAATCGGTCACAGAACGGTCAAGCTTTTTCTTTTTTTGCAATGGACGGTTGCGGCCTGCCAAAGACAAGAGACTTGAGAAATGAAGAATAATTAAGCAATATTGGGAAAGCTCATCGGCCATTCCCACCTCCTTCTTCTCTCCCTGCCGCCTTGGTAAAAAAAGCGGTGCAACCCAAGAGGACGCTGGAACGCGGGAGTGGAGCGATTCTGTCCCATTTGTGTCGCCCAAATTGGGGTTTACGCGCCCAATCGTCGTCTGACGCCGTTTATGGCATCCCCCCGGGGCTATCCGCCGCTCCGCCCGTTTGGAATCCCCCCCGGTCTTCTCATAGATGTGCCCCAATTCCCACCACGAAAGCAAGGAGGCGCAGTGAACCCGTTCGCGTCGTGGGCTTTCCCCCTCGTCACGAAGGGGACTACCCAAAAGAGGTGGTGGTGTCACACATTAAAATCGGTGGCTAAGGTGGCATGTGGGCGTGATTTCAGGCAGATGAGTTATTTCGCTCTCACTCTCTCCCTCCTTTCGAATCCGAACACACTCTTGTTTCTCCTCCGCCGACATCTTACTTTCCCTTGCTACCAGAGACGTTCGGATGCACAACTGGCACAGCAGCTGAGACGATTCTTCTTTTTTTGTTCTCCAAAGCTCAAAGCGCAACAAAACACCACCGCATTTTTCGGATATAGGAACCTCCCGCTTGCTATGTACATATAATCGTTCGCCTGTCACTGCCACACCTCGGAACCCCAAACGACCTCCACGAAGCTGTGGCACCTCGACGTCACACCTCTCAAACACTAACTCCCCGCTTTGATTGCCTCACGACTCGACCGTAACTTAAAATAAGCTTGAACCTCCTCCCCGTTCACCGGTTGCGTGTCCTCTCGGAGAGCCGTCCTAGTCCCCTCCTTTCACAAATACAACATAGTTGTAGCGACAACCCAGCCAAACCACAAGCCATGAGCGCAACCATGACCATGACTGCCGCTGTGCCTACACCGCCGCCGACATTGTCTCTCTCGACGGACCGTTCCGAGCAACACTCCTGCCCCAGCTGCGGCGTTGTCATCGAGCCCCCGCCCGCACTTCTCGAAGCGCAGTCCCGCATCGCCGACCTCGAGGCCCAGGTCCGCCTGCTGAACCAAAAGGCCGCCGCCGCCATCGACCGCTGGGCCGACTACGAAGACGAGCTCACACGACTGCGCATCGCCGCTTCCCAGACCTCCACGTCCCCTTTCGCCGTCATCTCCGCGCCCGCTCCGACCCCGTCGCCCACACGCACGAGCTTCCTCTCCGGCGGCGCAAACAGGCTATCCCAGCTCCTCAGCCCGCGCGGCATGAAGTCCACACCGAACCTGCGCGCCCCGTCACCGCCGGCGGCCGGCACGGACAACCCGGCGTCGACGGATGACCTCCGCGAGGCGCTGAGCAGGGAACAGAACCTCCGCCTAGCGGCCGAGAGCCGGCTCAGCACGACAAGCCAGGAGGTTGAGGAGCTGAGCGTGAGCCTGTTCGAGCAGGCCAACGAGATGGTCGCGAAGGAGCGGCGGGCGCGCGCGAGGCTCGAGGAGCGGGTCGAGACACTCGAGAAGCGAGACCAGGACAAGCTGCGGCGGCTGGAGCGGCTCGAGGGCGCCGTGGGGAGGATCGAGAGGGTGCGCTCGCTGTTGGGGGATATGAACGCCAAGGACGCGGCCGTGAGAGAGGCTGCGGAGCAGAAGAGGGCGTCGCAGCCTTGACGAGAAGGACCTGGGCGTCGGAGCTGACGGGTGGACGGTGCATCACAGTGTGAAGGCCTGCGAGGCTATTTCTACGACGAAACGACTAGCATATTGGGCGCAATCTTTGGCAAAGCCTTCTTTGATACCTACGGACGGACAAATGGAAGGGGGCGGGCAATCGGAGGGACATTTTGGCATAACAGAGCTGGAGTAACATATCAATAAAACGGACAGTTAGTGGAAGATTGCGTACTCAAATCACGATTTGAAAAAGGAAAAAAAAAAGAAAAGAAAAAAGAGGAAGACTAGCCACATAATCAGGTACCTGTAACACATCCTCTCTTTAATATCTATCGACGATCAGCCGATCAACAACAAGCAGACCCTTTCTTTCTCTCTTTCTTTTTCTCTTTCCTCTTGGTGCCAGAGAATACTGCCCCAAGCCTGTCCGCAATGCTTTCGGGCCATACCAAATGGAGCCTCCGTACGCCGTGTCCTTGTCCCAGTTACAGTTGAGCAGCTCGAATGTTTTTTTAGTACCACTGTCTTCGCCGTCCCCGCGCGCATCTTCCATCCGTCACAGCCCCAGGCTAAGTTAGTCCTGGAAGCCCTCCCATTCGATTTCTTCAGGCTTCAGTTTCTTCTTTGTGTCAGCTGCCTTCACCTTGGGAGAACCCTCTGGGAAAGACTTGAGCGAACCTTTGGGTGATGTGTTGGGCGATCCCTTAGCCTCCTCCGTCCTTGCAACCTTGGAGGCAGGTGCCTCATCTCCCGAGCTGGAGTTTCTTCTCTTCCTGTCATTTTCGTCGCTCTTGTCTACCTTCTTATTATCCTCCCATTTGCGCTTTCTGTCCTGCTTGCGGCTCTGGTTCTGTTGCTCCTGGTTGTTCTGTCGCCTCTGGGGCCCCTGGGGCGCTCCGTTGGGGTACTTCTCGGACCAGGCGGTCAGCATCTGCGTCACCTTGGGACCCCAGACTTGTTCTCCCTTGAGTAGATCCTCGTATTCCAGGCAGTTGTCAGTGCGGACCTCGAAGTCGCCCTGTCGCGAGCGCTCCAGTTCCGCCATCAAGCCCGCCGAATTGACCTTGGCGCCGAGGTCGTGGCAGAAGCTACGCACGTAGAATCCAGAGGTGACAGTCATGCGGATCCGGGCAGCGGGCGGTCCCTTGTCGGTCCAGGGAAACGGCTCGTCGGCGGACGGAGGCGGGGGAATGAGATTGGAGCCCTTGCCGGCTGGGAGCTGTCCCAGGGCACCGGACATAAGGGCCGGGTTCTTGGGCGGCTTCTGTTTCTTGGCGGGCTTATCACGGATAAGGCCGTCTTGGCGCTCCTCGAACTTCTTCTTAACAGTCTCATGCTCGGACAGGGCCCTTTCTTCCTCCTTCTCCTCATCAGGAGTCAGTTTACGGCCGGACCCCTGCTGCTTCTCCACTCGCCAGACCTGCTCGGCGAGGTTCTTCTCGGCAGCCTCTGCCTCCTCCGTAGGCCATCTGTAGTTGTGCGTGCCAGGCTCGTACCACTCGACCATTTCAAGCTCCGTCACCTCGACCTCTCGTCCTGCGATTTCTCTAGGGATGGCCTTGCCCTCGCGAGCGTACTCGTACAAGGGCTTGCCCTCCATCTTGAGTGCCGAGTACAGAGGCGGGATCTGCTGAAATTTGCCCCGGAAGTCGCCCAATGCCTTCTCGACATTGTCTCTCGTGATCTCGTCGTATTGCCGTCTGCTCAATATCCTGCCGACGCGGTCGTAGGTGTCTGTGCTTGCGCCGAAGAGAACGACCGTCTCGTAGGTCTTTTTGCAATCGAGGAAGGAGCCAAGGGACTTGGTTCCCGATCCGACGCCGAGAATGAGCACGCCAGTCGCCAATGGGTCGAGAGTCCCTCCGTGGCCCATCTTCACGCGCGAATCCCTCTTAACGGCCCGACGACGCTTCCATTCGGCCTTGGGCTCACGCATCTTGGAGGCGAGGTCCTTTTCAATCAGCGGCTTAAACAATGCTGAAGGGTTCATTTGCGTCTGGCAATCGCGGATCACCTGCGCGGAGCTCATGCCGTACGGCTTATTGATGGCTGGTAAAAAATAGCACGGTTAGCTGTCTATAAGTCGCATCGCGCTTGGAGGCGTCGCGAGAGAAGAAAATGAGGCAAGTGGAGGACGAAGGAAAGCAGGGAGTCGAAACTTACCGAAGACGCCCTCGAGTACGGTGTCTTTCGCCATCTTCCAGAGACTGAAGGAAGCTCGCATACACTCGACGGAAGGGTACGTAGTATGGGAGAACGAAAGGAAGGAAAGATCCGGTGAGGTGGGTGCGGCCGGCCTACTCTTTACCTTCTTCGCTTTTGCGCTTCGGTTTGCGCTTCTCTACATGCGTTTTTTGGTAAATTTTTTAGGAAGGGGACGTTCCGGCGTTTCTTATCGGCTTATCCATTGGCTAACAAATGACTAAACCCCTGTGCGCTTGGCCTGAGACCCAGCAAGTTCCCTGCGCTAACAACGAGTCGCGCTACATTTTCTGGCCAGCTCCAGTGGGGGCCTCAGAAGCGGTGGCCGAGTCTGCCCCCGCATCAGGACATCTGCCCCAAGCCGAGGGAAAGTGGCGCTGTCGCTGGTGCATTGAGTTGCAGCACCCTCGCGCTTAGACTTTAATGGATTTCAGGTCGCGTTCGCGTGCTTCCCTTCCCGCCCATGCACCGATCGCCGCCATCGTGGCTCGTCGCAACTGCACCCGTCGCCCCCCACAACAACAACACTTCAATTCAGTTGACCTTCCACCTCCCGGCTCAAGCCTGCAGATATACAAACACGGTACTGCTTAACCCGCTGCATGCACGTGCATGCTCGTGGTTCTTCTACCTCACATCCTTCCGAGAAAAGGCAGGAGCCTAGGCCGTTGTCACTATGGTCGGACGACGACGCAAAACGTCGGACTCGACGACGGACACTCTCGACTATGATGGCCGAGTCTTCGCCCCAGAACTACGCGTACTCAAGAAACATGAACCCAAATTAGACGATCAGGAGGAGACGGCGATGTTGCAGACTTTTGTTCTGGAAGACGCCATTGTTTGCGACAAAACAGGCAGCCCCGTTGAGCTATTCAATGTCAATACCCAAGGCCCATTTATTGTCCGCGGTCGGGTGGTCATCGAAGACTGGCAGAAGTCGAGAGGTAAGTTTCACTGCATCGGGATACTTACAGCGATTTCAAAGGCTTACTTTTTGCAGCCGTCAAGCCCTCTACGAGAACAGCCCTGATCGAAACCCGCCATTGCACCCGCTATGCAATCGGCGTCAACGACAACGGCTACGGCGCTTGGGCTGGGGGCCAAGCAGGCTGGTATGAAATCAGACCCCCGTCACCAGCCTACAGAGAAATCTTCGATCACACCATTGAGGGTGTCTCGATGTACTACGAAATCCTGGACATCATCGAGAAGCACATGGAGGCCCAGGAAGCAAAGCACGGGAAGAAGGAGTGGAAGAAGAAGGCAAACAGAATAGCCGCCCACGGTCAACTTAGCATCGAAACGTTGCTCTTCAGAGTGGGTTTTCTACTGAAACTATCCCACCGACGAAACCTGACATGAGCTGCAGTATGCTGTCGCCATGGGCGATGGCGCTACTTACGACGAGGTGATCGCGCGCTGTGACGACCATGCCCACTTTCTCCTATCTCACTTTTATGAAGATGCCGAAATGGACTGGTCTCCCACTGTATTCTTTAAGTGGATGACTAAGAGACACCCGGTAAGTATTTCCTTTGCGATTCGGGGAGCTGTGCTTAACTAGTCTAGGAAATACACGCGAAAATCCTGGAGCTGAGGAAGAAGAAGTTGGAAGCAATGACTCCCAGCCCCCCCTTAGCCGAGGGAGCTGAGCCAGCGGCCCAGCCAATCGCTTCCGATGAACCTCCCGCACAGAAAGTTCTCTCGAAACGGAGACAGAAAAGCACGTCGTCAGAAAGCAACGGCAGCACCCACCGGGTTGACACGCACGATTTTGCTTTGTCAAAGCGAGATGTCAGATCGAGATCGAGGGGAAAGACGAAGACGCAGTCGCGAGGTCCCCCCCTTGTTGTCGAGCCACCAGTGGATGCAATGGATGTGGACGACATTCCCAAGGTCCTACCCCAGACGGAGCTTTTTGAAGTGGCTCACGACCGCTTCAACGTAGAAGCTCTTCTTGAAGGTATCGAAGAAATCAAGCCTGAACTCGGCCCATTGAATGCTGTAGCATTCCCAAAGGTTTCATCCAAGATTTACTATCGGTATAAGATCAAGGTATACCTTGGGGCATCTGACATCATCAAATACTACGCAAAGGAGCTGATCGAACGCCTGGACGAGGACGAGTGGGCCGGTTCTGGGTTCTGGAACACCCTCAAGGAAGCTGCCAAAGGCCCTCGTATCACCCTTGAGCACGTCAAAGTGGAACAGATCCCCGACAGTCTCGTCCGGCGAAAAGCAACTGCAATCACAGTGTCAAAGCCTCGTGGCCAGAGCGATGCTGAGAAAGGCGCGGTCGTTGCAACTCCGCCACCAAGACGTGGTGGTCGCCCAGCAGGCAAGATGTCAGGTCTTCGCCTCGCCGGCACCGGCGGTAAGCGACGCTTCGACCCGGATGAGACCCCCGAGTCCGTCTCACGGAAGGCGGCGAAGACATACCATGGCTACGACTCTGAGACGGAAGAAGCCATGAACGGCGGTAGTCGCCCTGGCAGTGAAGGTGATGAACCCTCTGTAAACTCCACGGACTCGCTCGCAGCTTTCAAGGCCGTTGTTCGAGCCGAGAACATCCCCACCACGATTCCAAAGGGACCCAATGGCACCTGGGTTTGTGATGAGGACGATTGCGACTTTGTTGAGCGCGATCCCGAATCCGAGGACGGCCGCGAGAGAATTCACCAACACATGCAGGATATCCACTATCAGGAGAGCGAGGATCAGGTTGAGCGTATCAGCCTCGCAGTGACTGAAGGTGGCAAGAACCGCCTCCCCATTGAGTATTCCCCCCCGCTCCCGTCTTCTGATTTTAGATATACATGCCTATTAGGCGATCAGGGCGAAGTTTCCCCGTTTTGGGAGTCAGGTCCAAGTGGGTCAACTACCAGCGGAACTACACTGTCGTCCCAAGCCGTCTCCAACTCTGCTTCGGGGCCACGATGACATTTCGCCCGGCACATGGGATTTCATTCCAAATAGTCTCCATAAGCGCTCTGGATGGAAGTTTTCTGACATTTTGTGCAACTCCAGCCACCTCCTCGAGAAAATTCGCCAGATGGGCCAGAAGATCCAGACGAAGGAAGAAATCAAAATCTACAACGTGTCAGTCCCTCAGCCAATCAAACGACGGTTGATTACTTGAGCACATCTTCTTTTCGCCACTATTTCGATACGGCCGGCCTTCACATATGAAGGTAGGAATCAAGGGACGAGTATACCATAGGCATGAACGGCGTTTGGGTGGACATAGCGTTGTATCTTCAGTTTGACGTGGATAAATAGATGGCCGGCACTGGGTGTGGAGTGTCAGGTACGGCCTTGCCTACGATGCCGATTTGACATTCGGCCCATTGGCTGTACATACTATAGGCCCCGAAAATGGATACCATTCACAAGACATTACTTAGGTGTATAACCCACTTTCAGCAGGATCTCGTGCATGCTTCATCGTACCGGCTCAACAATGCCCGGAGACAAATCCAGGGGGGGCAGCCACTTCGCATTTGTCAGGCTAGATATATCTCTGGCTCACCTTGCTACCCGTACAGTCTGTCCAGTCCTCGACGTTGACTACGGACACCTTAGACGCACACGATGACAGTTGTCCAGGCTAAGTCTGTTTCTATTCCTCAGATACAGAACATCTAACCTACGGCTTTATGAACTTATAATGCAAACCTCATGTCTGTCTGGACCCAGCAGCAAGCCTTGCTCCGCACCCCAGTCCCTCTCGGGCTATATATGGACCACCAATTGCCTCATATTCCGCCCCTGGGAGGGAACCATGCCGCCAGGCAGTGGCAGCTCGGCGTGCTTCGTGCTGTCCAGAACCCCGTTTGCTTTTTGATTCTCCAACGCCACGCTACAAGGCCAGATACCTTCAGCCCTAGAACCGTCTCTGATCCAGATACTTGCTTGCTGTTGACCACACAGCCTTGTCGGTTGCTGAGACCTCCTTGTTGAGCGTTTGCACACCCTTGTGGATAGCCTCAAAGAATGCAAACGCCAATTGCACATCATCCTTGAAGTTGGTGGCAAAAGGGAAGAACTTCCCAGGGAAATCCTCGATTCTGGCCTGGCGCTTCTCCACGCTCTCGCTGGCAGGAAGCTCGTCCATGAGCGTCTTTACCGCGATGCCGAGAGCGATGTCGGGGTTGTGAAGGAATGGCAATCTAAAGCAGGTGAGCGGCTGAGGTGGAGGTAGAGCTTTTTGGGGGAAGGGGGCTTACGCTTGGCTGATTTGCAGGTAATCGTCTCGATCTCTCTTCGACTGGGCATACAAGAACATGGATGCCACAATAGCCTCTACAAGATCACGGTCCGCCTCACGGACTGCAGTAGAAAGTGACCGGAACAGCAGAAGATTCTTGTTGAGAGGGCCGGTATATCCGTTGGATTCGTGGCGAAGCTTCAATAGCGTGGCGCAACGACTAATGAGAAGGATACTCGCCTTATCATCGTCGCTGCCAGCCATTGGGGCGCCATTGAGTTCCTCGTGTCGGTGGCGCGAATTGAGCACGTCGTGTCTGATAAGCTCGAACGCAGTCAAGATAGCCTCAAAAATGTTGAGGCCCTCGGGGACCTGCAACTCCTTAAGTGAGTCCTTCATTGCCCAGATTGCGCTAGCAACGGCATTGCCCCAGTTGGTGAGGGTATGCGTATCATCCACGTATCCACGAAGATGAAGGAATCTCCAAATGGTTACTGCCGTGATGTTCTGGAGAGAATCGATGCCGCCGATACGTTTCTTGTCCTTGGGGAAAGTGCCCTTGACAAAGTCTGGGAACAGTAACGCAAGAATCTCGAAAGCGATAGAACCAGGGGGATCGGCAACATCATCGGCAACAATTTTGAAGGAAGTTTCCTTCACATCCCAAGTGGCGGCGCGCTGAGACGGAGACGGCTGAAGGGACTTGTTGATCTGGTAAGAGAATTTGTCGTCAAACCAAACTTTCATAGTGATGGGGTTGTGCTGCAGGCCGCGATGAAGGCGAGGGATAAGCAATGCAATGCTTTGCTCTTTAAGAGGAACGATCTGGTTGGTAACCAGCTTTCTGTACTGCTCCGATGCGACACCGTCTAGGGTTGGCGTTACGACGATTCGACTATGTGTTATATAATCGAGAACACGAGAGCCAATTAGACCAGTATTGAGATAGTGAAACAGTTCTCCGGGCAGCTGCAGTCCGAGATACTCGTGGTTGTCTCTTGTGATGTGGTCGAAATCGTTAACTTTGATCTCGCCATCCTCGGCAATGTAGATGAAGTGATTGACCGCCATTTTGGCTTGTCTGTACTTATCCAACCAGTTGGCGTCTTGCTTCTTGAGGATATCGCCATAGGAGCTGCAGGCCGACTGTACAGATTTTTCTGATGCTCTGAGCAGATTCACAGCGTCGTTTATCGTGAACGGCTGGCGCGGGTTAAGCGATGTGTCCTGGAGTGGGGGGAAGGGTGGCAGAAATGAGGTCCCCGTCATAAGGAGGGCGTCGCCGAGCATGCCTTCGCTAATATTCAGCGACCGAAGGAGGTTCCTTTTGGAAAGCGACGTCACGGTCTTCGCCTCCCAATCTATTGTGCGGATCAGTGTGTCCTTGATCGGGTACAGAAGCAGCTCCTGCGAACCCATGACGGCAGCACATTGGTCTGAGTCGATCATGTCGAAGTAGGCAAGCTGATAAGTGGGCCATTAGAGTCGAATATGCCATGTCTCAGTAAGAGTTGAACATACCTGAGCTGATGCGTTGTATGGAGGGACAAGGAAGTGAAGATCGTTATCCTTCAGAATCGACTTTAACAATGGGTAGAGATTCTGGATGCGGTAGGCGCCTGGTAAACCATGGTCAGCTCAGCATAATCCCTCCAGCATCACATCATAGCAGCAATGCGTACCACTGTTGGCACCAAAAGAATCGACAGCCTGCTGAGCCTCGCTGTTGAAGTACAAGTTCCAGGCAGCATCCGTCTTCTGATTGGCGGCCCTTCCGCGCTGAACAGCAACTTCCTCCTGGCCAGTTACGGACTGGCCGTCGAAGACGAAGAAGGGAACGATCTTGTGGGCCTTCCATTGGTCGATATCGGCTCGAAGATGGTGTTCGATGCCAGTCATGCCACCGAGGGCGGGCAGAAGCGGTTCGTGGAAAGGGGGGGTGTCGAGAAAGAGTTGGAGGTAGTATGTCGCATCGACGGCGATCGCGCAATCCTCGAGCTCGGAGACATCGTGAGTCCTGGTTCAATGCTTTAGCTGAGATGTCGCAGGTGGGGGCGCAGTCCAGCTTACGTTGCCTGGCCATTGATCCAAGCGTCCTCCACAAGGCCTGTCGTACTCGGTCAGTAAGGTTCCATGGTACGAGGTGCAAAATGCAAAGGTGCGATGTAGAAGCGCTGGAGGCGGAAGGAGGAGCTGGAGGTCCTGGGCGATGTCGTCTCGTTGACCAGGAATTCGGAGGTGGTGAGGTGTCAAGTTCCCGAACGGACGGACAGGTTGGATGTGCAGCTTCCAGAGCAGCAATGCCAGCCACCAAGGCAAAGGCTTGGTCCTTCTCAAATGATAAAAGTACACTTCGTAGGGCTCCAACTCATGTATGAACTCGAACGCCTTCTAGTGCGAGAAGAAACAGGTATGACGCAGGGCAATCTTGAAGGCATGTGACGGCTAGGCTCGGGGTTGGGAGGAGCAGTTTGCACAGTAGACGGCCAGCGCATCGCGGGGTAGGAAGTTCGGGAGGGTGGATGAGAGAGAAGAGACTCACAAGGCATCTTGTCGGGCCTTGCGCAACGGCGAGGTAGCTTCGTCGGGCTTGAGTTGACAACAAGCCGTTTAAAGGTGGGAGGTGGTAGGTCGGGTGGAGCTTTGGTCGCGAGACCACTCAGGGGAGCAGTACGCCTAAGGGTCGGGCGCGGTTGGAGGAAGAAGTTCAAATGACTTCCAAAGGAATGACTGAGCTTGTCATGAAAGGAGGACGGCCAACTGCAAGGCCGACGACACTGACAAGCGTGTCTCAAAAGAAGAGGGGAGCTTTAAGAAAAGGACACTGATGGAGGGGAGGTAAATTGGAATCCAAAGTTTGGGGGTTCGGGAACGCAGGTGCGACGTACCGCACTGGTACAGGGGGAGCAAGTTGGCAACCCTTGGGTTTCGAGGCGCGCTAAGGAACCCGTAGGGTTAGCGCGTGAAGGAGGGAGGAGGGAGGTGGGTCTCCCATGTGGCGGTGCGTGTGGCTGGCAGCTCGTCCGTTGTCTGACAAGTACATCAAGTACCCGGTTACGAACCCAAGTGGAGAGCTTGGAGGAAGGCATGCGCAGACTGAGAAGCTCTCCTTGTAGAAAATTATTCCTTCCGTTATCTGTTTTATTCACAACTGCACCACTCGATACTCAATACTAGTAGCATGCCATTCGGTGTTGTTCATTGACTTTTGGGGTCCTGCGGGACCAAATCCACCTGTCATCTCTCCCATGCGTCCGTACCTGTACCGCCTACCTCCAACAACACGGAGTCTTCCCAGCCCAAACCGGAGCAGAGCCACACAGGAGTGCGGGAGCGGCAGCGTTGCTCAACTGACCTTGCAGCGGTTCCCCTTCCCCCTCGCGATCCCCGCTCCGTACGTTTGCCTGTCCTTTGTGTCAGGGATGTGCGATTCAGCCATGTCTTGCACACTCTTCTGTCAGCCCCTTGCATGGTATATTCTTCGGCAAACAGTTCGCAACTTTGCACTCTCAAGCTCTAAGGAGAGCTCTGAAGTCGTACCTAGAACGAAGACTGCCTCCTTGCACCCTTCCTTGGAGTGTATCCTGCTTGAGGCGTCATGAAGAATTCCCGGGCTTCAGCCTCCACTCTCTGAACATGTCCCCTCCCAGTCTCCGCTTCAAGACTTCTCCATTTCTCGGATACCCACAGCTGGATCCTTACGAGAGGCTTCGTCGTCTATAAGTGCCATATACGATGTACTCAGTAACAAGCATACGCACATGGGACTTGGTTGCCACACACCCATGAGATAATGATGGCGCAAGCGGGCCTGTACCTTGTTTAGGCCCCAGCGGCTCCAGGTGTTTTCTTTGACAGGAGACGAGCTCTGTTTTACCAACCCACGGGATCCCGCCCTGCCGTAGGAGTCATAGGACATGCTTATCAACTAGCACCCTAACTCTAAGTGAACTCTAAGTGAACGACGAGTTCCGTTCCCGGAACAGGACTGACAAAACACCTTTTTAGGACATCATCTCTCTCCACTGCAATGGCGTAGATCCTCTAAGCTTTTGACCAAGACACTGGTGAATCAAACTTGCACTAGGACGTCTTCGATCTGGTGTCCCTTTGTGCAACCTCGATCTACTCCATACATAAGCTTCTGGGTCTAGTCAGAATCCTGGCTCCCGTAGCGCCGAGAACCGGGTGTCAGTTCCGAAGCTGTCATAAGGCGATCCAAGCTTCGCGACTTGAATAGGTATTACACCCTTGGTTCACTAAATGAGGAAACATCCCATTGCCGCTTCCTGCCATGGTACTTTCTACCAATTCCCATCAATCCCTTTCAAGGCACGACATATTCAAGGTCGATATATTGAAGCCATTTTCCCAAACCGAACGCTGCGTAATACTCATTATCTAAATCGACGCCCTTATCTAAAACAGCCCCGTCCGCCCCTACCGATCCCACTCTTATCGTTATCGCATCCCACTTCGTGCGACTTCGGTCGAACATCGCCCCTCCAAATAAACGTCTATGTAAAGAAACCAGCTAACAGCCATTTTTAAAGAAGCAAATCTATCGCAGAAAGTAGGAATCATGGCGCCCAAGGCCAACATCCCCGTCATCGACATCGCCTCTACAGGCATCGACAGAGCCGCCATTGCGCGCCAGCTCGTTGACGCCGCTGTCGAGCATGGCTTCATCTATATCCGCAGCTCCGGAAAGTATGTAACACTGGGCGATATTGATACGGCCTTTGATCTGGTACTGTTGCCCCTTTCCTTTTAACGACGACGGAACATATGCTAAACCGCTGAGCAGTCCAAGAAACTTTTCAAAGCTCCTGTGGAGGAGAAAGCCGCCTGTTCCATTCAGAAGAACAACCGCGGCTGGTCAGGCATGCACTCTGAGACGCTAGATCCCAAGAATCAAAAGGTGGGGGTCATTGCCAGCGTTTCACTTCGATGAGACGAAAATGCTGACTCCGTGACAGGTCGGCGATTACAAGGAGTAAGACTCTCGATTCTGGTATTCTAGACAGCGACTAACACGACACCAAGGGCCTTCAACTTTGGCGAGTTTAAGGACGGCAAGGCCCAGCAACCGTTGCCTCCGACCATCCAGCCCGATGAGCCCTTCATAAACTCCTTTGGAGATCAGTGCCACGCTCTCTGCCTTGAGCTCCTAGAGCTCCTCGGCATCGGGCTCGACGTATAGCTCCCCCTCCCCCTTACCCATCTCACGGCAGCTCACCCACACCCTCACCCAGGTCGATCCCCCGAGCTTCTTCTCCTCAGCTCACCTCCGCTCCAAAGGCGACTCGGGCACGATCCTGCGCATGCTCTACTACCCACCCACGTCCTCCACCACCGCCTCCGAAGACGACGTCCGCGCCGGCGCCCACTCCGATTACGGCTCCCTGACTCTGCTCTTCCGCCTCCGCGGCCAAGCCGGCCTCGAGATCCTCACTCGCGACAACGTCTGGGCACCCGTACCCGTGACCCCGCCCGGCACGGAATCCGACCCTTCCCCGCCCATCCTCGTCAACATCGGCGACCTGCTGAGCTACTGGACGAACGGGCTATTCCGGAGCACCGTCCACCGCGTCGTGTTCGGCGGCGAAGGCGTAGACGGCGAGACGGACACGGGTCCCCGGTACAGTATGGCCTTCTTCTGCCACCCTGTCGGGTCCGTGGCGCTTGACCCCGTGCCGAGCGAGAGGGTCGAGGGATTCGTCGCGCCCGAGGGGACGCCGAACGCGAACCCGTACGCGGAGAGAAAAGTTCTCACCGCCGACGAGCACTTATTCATGAGGTTGAGGGAGAGCTACAAGGGGCTGTACAACAAGGAGGAGGCCACGGTGTCGTCATGAGTTTGGTGGATAACGTGATAACCAGTATTCATCCGTTTGTAGCTCACTACCGAGTGGCTTCGTATGACGTAGGCTCGCGGCTATAACTATGCAAAACAATATACCACCAAAACTCCGTTGCTATGCCAGTATAGTCGGATAGAAACAAGGGGCACCGAAAAGTCTCAAGCCAAACCAACCCACCACTTCTGCTTGGGGCCCGAGTTTTCTGTCGCGGACTTCGATCCCTTTGGCTTTCTCTCCAGCGCCGTGATATCCTCCAAGATGCGCCAGTCGTACACCTCAACGTACTCGCGCCTGCCGCTTGTCGTGTACTGCGGGTTGCTCTCGAGGTGCTTCATCAGGGCGTGGGTCACTTCTCTCCGGTTGTGTTCCACGAAGCAGACCCTCCGTATGCATCGGCGCTGTCTCTGACTGTTTGCAGCCGAAGTTGAACAGACGGGTGGCTTGTCGACCCAGTCTTGTGGGTTCGTCGCCCATTGGTGGATGCCGTGGAGGGGGAGGAGGTTCTCGGTTATCCATGGCTGTTGGGCGACGCAAGGGGAGAGGAGGACGACGGTGTCTGTGAGAAAGCACTTGTCGCCTACGCATTGGCAGGTGTGCTTAGGTCGCGCTGGTGAGCGTGTTTGCGCGCTGTGGGCTGGTGACCCATGTGTTTCCGCACAACTTGCTATAGACTGCTTGCTAGTCTTATCAGACACAGGAGCAACTTCCTCTGTCTGTTTGTTGATCGTTTCTTCATGATTCGCGGCCGGTTGCTGAGTTTTAGGGTCGTGAGGAGGGGGACTCGTCTGGTTGACGCTTATGTCTGCAAGCGGATGACGTGGTGATCGGGCGGATTCTTGGGTGACGACACCAGGCTCAGAAAAAACTCTTGGCCGCTTGCGCGGAGACGCGTCTCTGCCTTGTAGAATCCGCTTGTTGGTGCTGGGAATCCGGACTGCTTCGCTCGCAGGAGCGTCTTCGGTGGCCTCTAACATGTCGACTGAAGACGAAGAAGCCGGGATTGCGACAAGGGAAGGTTCCGAGGCTTCAAACAAAGTTGGAAGAGATCTGCGAGATCCTAGTGGGCTCTGCGCAAGAGATGGCGCTGGCGAAGCTGACGGCTGGATGGACGAGGCGCGAGATGGTGTCATCCGGGAAGATGTTGTTGACTGACTGACGGCATCAACGGGGACGCCACGAGGATCCGCTCCTTCCAGCCTCGCAATCCAATCAAGCATCTCCTGGCTGTCATCCATGGCCGGCGCTTTCGTTGCGTCTTCCGCAACGGCCTGGAGTTCTGGAAAGGAAATGGTGTCGGTAAAGGACCGGTCAAAGTGCACCTTGGACACCTGCGGGAACCTCGGCTGCCAGAAGCCTGTGTTTCCCTCCTGATCGAATGAGAAACAACAGATATCAAACACCAAGGGCTCGGTGAAAACCACACTGGGCATCTTTTGTTGTGCTATACCTGGCGCAATGTTGAGGATCAAAGCATCGTTGTCCTGGAAAGCAATTGGCTTTGGATTTCCATATCTCACCACTGTCTTGAGCAGGGCCTCGCTAAGCTCCACCTGGTGAACTACTGTGAATATGGGTTGAGCCTGGCATCTCTGGTGTTCCTCTTTGTTTTCGAGACACCCAAGATAGAAGTGCGTCCACTTGAGGTTCGGGATATTGTAGCTCTTCGCTTTGGTGGAGTCGTACCGCGCCGCAACCACAGCAAAGTCGCCCACGTCACCAAACCCGCCGATGTACTCTTTCTTGAGCTTGATGGGACAACTGGAAAACGCGCGGCGGTTCTCGCCGAAGTCGAAGTAGGGGTCATCTGGTTTTAGCACTAGGCCCTCCTCTCGTTCTGTAATGGACTTGGCAAACGCTTGTCTTAGATGATGTGCCCCCAAAGAACGATCGAAATTTATGACCTGGCGGTTTACCAGTTCGGCATGGCCTTCTCGACAGGCGATCAGCTCCGCTAGTCGCTTGAAGCGCTCGCTTTGACAAACACCGAGAAGGGACTCTTGGTCGATAAGGAGGACATCGTAATATATAATCATCAAGTGCTCATAATCGTGGCGCCTTGATACGTTAGCCTGGGAAATGGACATTAAGGGCAACGTGCTTACTGCGAGTCTGCTTCCGTGCTGATGAAGCTGCCTGACCTCGAAACGTACTTGCGTATCTTGTGAAAAGGTAAGATCTTCTTCTCCTGTGAAGGAGGTAAGCAAAGAGTGTACGCCAGGGTTCAGTGATCATGCCTTGTCACTGTAGACTACCAGCTCCCCCTCCAGAATACAGCCGCGGACGAGCTTGCAGCTTGGCTTTCCAATATTGAGCGAGTCACGGATGGCTCTACGTAAATGTTAGTGCGTCCGCACCCAACTGAGCATACGATACTCACCCATGCAATGCGGCACGATCGTTGGTGCTGTCCTTGCCGCTCTTGGAAAATATCTGGATACACTTGAATCCCTTGCTTAGATCTATGTGGACTTGGCAATATTCCCCGTCTATTTTCTTCTCGCAGCTCATGCGACCGTGGCCGAGCTTTATGCAATGCTTGATGCTACGGCCTTTAAGCCAATACGGCCTGCCGACTTTCACACCCAGGGCGGGTGCCAGGTGCTTAATCAGCGCATCTCTCTTCTTGCCTTCCACGCCCCTGCGGAACGAGGGCTCCTTCCTTAGATTCTGCAGAAGAGACAATGCTGCAGAGAAGTCGTCTCGGACCTTTAGAATGTTGGGGAGCAGGGGATCGTAGCAGTAGTAGACGTGTCCCGGATCAAGCAGGACCGGTTGAAAGCTCTTGAGTATCAGGCGCGTGAGCCACTTGGCTTCCCTTGACTGGACGCGAAGGTATAATTCGCCAAGTATTTCATCTCGACGACTGCTTGAACGGGGCTGTGAAGCCCGAACGGCGGGAGAGCTGAACCTACAGGAGGCGGCGAGGCTGTTCAGGGCTGAATCGATCTCCTCGACGGTTACGGCATCCTTTCCGACAAAAATAGGGTTTGGCTGCCGTGGTGTCAGAGTGGGCATATACTCACGTTATCCTAGCTTGAGCTGTGCAGTTCCGATAACTCGGCTCAGGGATATGAATGCGACACTTACCGTTTCTTTGAGGATTCTCGCAACACAGTCAGCCAGATCCTCGCCTCGGCCGGGCTCCTTGTATCGGCGCAACTCTTTAACACGTGACGCCCCAAGACGCAGGGCTCGGCCGATGATGCTCGAAAGAGCATCGGCCTGGATGGCATACACGCGATCGGTGCGCTTGTCCGGGAGGAGGGTAGACAGCAGAGCAGAGGCATCGGTTCCAGGGTCGTCAATATGGCGGCGATGCTGGGTGAACCAGTCGGACACGCGTTGGTTGAGGTTCTTGTTTCCGGCTTTGCATTGCTTATGAGCCTGCTCTAGAAGATCGCATATGAGGACAAAGGAAAGGGGCATCTTGACAGTGTCGATAGCTTCAACGTGGCCTGGAGGACGGACGGCGTGGTGTATGCAGAGTAAGCTTCACGGTTTGATGGAGTAGAGTCATGCCCGAGCGGCAATAGTATGATTCATATGTGCCACCCGGATGCCCAATGCAGGCGGATGTTTATAAAGACCTAGGTGAGGTCTTGGTGATGCCCAAATTGAAGCGCAAGTGAGCTCTGCCGACTTGTTCGAGGGTATCCTGCAGAAGGCCGACACGTCTCAGTGGTGGATTTAGCGCACTGCCACCAAGGCCCCTCTTACGGTCACACAGGTACACAATGATAGGTACTCTAACCCAGTTGGGAAAACACAGTATAAGTACCATGCCCAATACTCAACACAATAGAAGGTTTCTGGATGGAAACACACTACTCCGTAGGTACCATGTAATATCGCAGCTACACGTGTAAAGCATGTGGTGGGTGGCAGGCTGACTACCTAAATGAAGAAAGAAAAAGTCAATTGCAGACACCTAGTGAGTGTGGTGTGATTATGTACCGATTTTCCATCGCCAATTAATGCACCGCACACGCTCCATACCGCCCCGCCTCTACTGTTACTGCTCTACGGAGTATTGGACTCCTTTAAAGAGCAGGAGCAGGAGCAGGATCAGGAAAGAGCAGTCGCAACCTCCCCAAAGTGCCTGGGAGTCACGTGGGTCCCTTTTAGACATTCGGGGAAACAGATGGCGGTTATGATTGGCTGCTAATTTCAGGGAAATTCAAACTGGGTCGTGGGCTCCATGCACGCCCGGCTAATCCCAGTTCCTTTCCTGCGGTCCCTTGCCCTTACCGGGGCGTCCTCCTTGTCACATCTGTTGAATCGTTGGCGGGAGCCTTCGCAGCTCTTGTGTGCCTCGGAAGCCACCGCAAAGGGGGACAAGATCAGCTAAGAGTTTAGCAGACGGCTAACAACTGCCTCGGGCCCTTTTCCAACATGTCCCCGTCCGGCACCACCGCCTAGCTCACGCCTGTTGCCCCGGCGCCCGTCTGTTCTTGACAGTTTCCCGACTCCTTACTGCGGTGTCTTGCAGGTGCCGGTCGACTTTGGTGCTGCACGCTTGCTGCAAGCCCCTGAATGGAGTCCATCCATCCTAGTGGATCGTCGGTCCTGCAAACGCAAGCCATGGTCCACCGGTTTCCGTGGGCGATGGTTTCGTCTTGTCTTGTTGGTTCGACGAGGCGTCAGTCAAAACAACGGGGAACACATGCAAACCCAGCCCGCAGGCCGAGAACAATGAGGAGTCACCATGTCACCACTACCTAAATACACTACTACTACGGAGTAGACGATCGGAAGAAGGGGGGGAGTGGCGGGCCCTTGCTTAGCTTTAGCTGGCTGTCATCGTCGTCAACAGGGACGATGGATGTAAATAAGATAGAAACAGGGAGGATACAAACAAAACTCAATGCGTTACCTAGTTACCTTACCGCGCAAGCAAGCAAGCAAAAATCACCACCACCAGCTTAGCTCCGTCATCAACGGCTCAGGTCAGACCACATGCTCTGGTTCCCATCCCAACAACCAGGGCTGCAGCCAACAAAAGAGTCAACTGACCTGTAACCATCTTGCACTTGTTATCGCATTACATTCGCTCGTTCATCAACTTCGTTCTTCCATCCCTCCCTTTCCCCCCATCTCACCCATCCAGCACACCATTGGCTCAACTTTGCTATCAATACTGCTGCTGCTCGTTGCTTCTTCTTGTTCCTCTTCCGTCGTCGTCCCAACTTACGGCCTCTGCCATCCTCGCCTCGTCTCCTCTCAGCTCATGCAACCCTGTTGTGCGCATATTATAACTACGGATACCTTACCTCACAACCTGGGCCCAGACATCGGTCTCCCTGTTACCCCTGGTACGATCCCGGGACAACAACACGTCTTCTATCAACAAGCAAGCATCGAGCAATTCAAGCAGCATTGACGGCCCAGAGCAACAGTCAAGGCCTCGCCCGCAGCCGCATCCTCTTTTCCACCTCGCTTGGTCGTCACAATCTCTACATCAACACAACGTTCCCCATTTCCAGTCCTTGTCGCTCATTCAACTTGGATATTTGTGCTTGAATTCGTCATTCGACTCACCCCCCAGAGGACCCCAAGGCCCGGAACACGCGAAATAAGAGATTACACAGCCCTCGCACACTTCCTTGACTGCCGAAGCATCCAGCCCGGTGTGTCCACCCCTATCGACCGCAGCACAGGAAAATACCCTCGTCTGCCACGGCCAGCTCGGCCAATCTCGCTGTCCAATTGTCACCCCCGTTGCGCTGCAACCCTCATTCAACAGGCCCCCTTACCCGACCCAGGGAGGAGGTGTGCTCCAACCCCCTACTGCGACTGGAGCTGGTGATTTGGATCCCCCCCCCCCCCGGAACGACACCGCCCCCCCCGAACGCTCTCTGTTTCCTCAGGTTGCTCTCTTATCGGTACGCTGTGGCTATCTGAGGAGCCCAGCCATTCACAACACACACGCACACCCGGGCCGTCAATAATGACCCTCTTTTCACTTTCTCCATGACAGCCATCTTCCTGCTACAAATCTGCTTCATCTCGGCTTTTTCACACACTCTCTTACATGACCATCAGAGACATTTGAATACCTACAAGGCTGTCGTCGCCAGAAGGACGAATCACACTCACTCCTCCTCCGCCTGGAGATCAAGGCATATCCGGAGAGCAAATAACGCATCTCCCTCACATTCTTTGCCTAAGCGCCGTCGAGCATATACCACCGCAAACTGCCAATCGTTGTACGAGGCGTCCACCGCACGTTTCGCTCGTGCCGAGATGCAGAGCACCCACGAGATTCGCCGTCGCGCCTCCGTGGTCGAGCGTCCGCCGGCGGACTCCTCGGCCACCACGACAACCACCGCCTTTACTCCCCAACCTGCCATTGCCCCGAGGCCTTGCCATTTCAAGTCCTCGGAAGCTCAGATCGAAACTCTTGTGGGGGAAATGGAGATCCCCGAGGCAATGACGCCTCCTCCTCCGCCGACGCCGTCGACCCAGGACCGTTTCTCGCGCGCGTCACGTTCGACGTCTAATGCGTCGCGAAACACCAACCGCCTTTCCCTGACCCTTCCCATTGCACCGCCTACCAGCGATCCTTCCCGACCCTCTTCAGTCGCGACGCCATCCTACCCTCCCACACCCGTCGACACCTCGGCACTCGCATCTCCCTCAGACCCCAATGACTTCATCATCGCGATAGCAGCGCAAGAACGACGAGTACTGGAGATCCGCGAGGAATTGGCCCGTGCCGAGGCCGAGCTCACGAGACTCAAGCAGCGATGGACAGCCCAGGGGACTCAGAGGAAGAGAGAAATACGCCATGAGCCCATGCGTCCTCCGATACCGCAGTTTGAGCCATCTCTGCTGGATGACGATGAGGCAGCATCAAAACGAAGCGTCGAGCTGGACAGGAGGAAAACGCTTCTGAGAGACTTGCAGGGACAGACAGGGCCCAGGGAATATCGACGAAGGGTCCTCCGCGGCGGGCACACAAGGACGCTATCGCTGTTATCCCCGACCAAGCCAGAAGGCTTTGCTGTGCACGAAGACACTGCAAGCCTGAAGTCGCCAGTCCTCCGGTCTCCACCAATGCTTGCGAGCGCCGCGTTGTCAAAGAGAGCGTCATGGCAGCCAAGGTCGTACAACACGGCTGCTTCCCCCGCTGTAAAGCAGGTGGCCCAGGACTTCAAGCTAAGTCTTTGGAGCTTCATGGAAGACATAAGACAAGCGACTGTTGGTGACGAGCCAATCCACGGGGTTCCTGTACGACCGGGCTCAACGGACCTCCATGGCCGCAGGGAGAGGCCGTACCTCGGAGAACAGGACACCATCAAGCCCAACAGCTCTTCTCGACCTAGAGTTCCGTTGAATTCAGCCTTCGATCTGGCATCTATCGACACGCCGAGCAAGCCGTCGAAGCCGCTCCAGGAACGACCGAACCTAAAGCCCGCGACCAAGTCTACGACGACGAAGGCTAAGCACTTTTCGTGGACGCCGCTGACTTTCGACTCGTTCGATGATAACGACTGGTCCAACTGGGAATCGCCTCAGGTATCATCGGCCAAGTCAGCGCGCTGGAGCGGTTCGACGATGGGAGGGTCTGAGGAAATAGTGTCAATGTCCGACAACAACGAGAATGCGACTTCACTGTAAGAGCCTCACTGCCATGCTTTCCAACTCCCCCATGCTAAGACATGTGCATCAGCAAAAAGAAGTCATCCATCACCTTGGACACTTCAGTCAGATCCGATTCGCTTTTCGATTCGGCCGTGCTGTCGCCGAGTCGGTTGGAGGAGCTTCTCCCCACTGTCGTCCACAAACTTTCCCCTGGTAACCTCAAGCGGACTGCCAACAACCTCATGGATGAGTGGGAGAAGAGCCTCAAGGAGAACGACGAAGAGGAGCAGCTCATCGACTTCAATGAGACCACGGCTTGAGTCAGGCGCACACAATAGATCTGCGTCGGGACGAGAATTGCGCAAGCATCACATCACCACGCTTGGATCCGATAAAGGCCCGATACACAAACGGATCGATCAAATGAATTGCAATCGCAACAAAAGTTATAGAAGTTACAAAAACTGGACCGACCCGCACAAAACGGCCAGACGAGCGGACAGGTTTATCCGCCAGACATCAAAAACTGTCGGGGAGGAGGGCTGGCCAAGGACAGAAATGCTCTCAGGGCTACATGCGGGAAGAAAACAGTGCCAATGACTGCCCTACCAGCGGGTCGGCGAGGACTTATGCTCTTAAGATGGGAGCTCATATCGGCGAATGTCTGGGTGGCGGTCGGGTGGTCATTAACGATGATGGCCTGCTGGCCAATGGCATGGCATAATGACGATAGTAATGAATGTACGAACGTAGGTTACTCGTGCTTTGGAAGGGATTAAGAAAACCGGCGTAAGATACGACTGACTTGTTGCACAGCCGTTTCGTGTACACCTCGTCTGCTAAAGACGTGGTTCACATTGGGAAACGCAGCTTCAGGAATGACTTGCTCGGGCGATATTTAGTTATACTTAGTGTCAAATATTTATGATTCAGTCACAAGGGTTACATCCAATGCCTCGTGGAAGTGAAGCTGTAGTTTTGTCGCAGCCTGGTGTCAAGCAAACGTTGCGGCGGTGAAGTTCGTCTTCCACAAGTTCAAGGGCGGACGGACGGACGGACGGATAGACGGACGACAAGATTTGCTTGGTGGTTTCCCGGGTCGTTGCTGCCGCATAAGACAGTCGAATCTCAGGAGGGATTATCCGTACCTCTTCTGCGCTGCGTGGGCAAAAGGATTGCCGAGTGTAACACCATAACCAACCCGTGACTCCGGGTGGGCATTTTCTTAACTAGAACAACTACCAATTACCACAACAAAGGGGGAAGAAAAAACTCATCGATACTCACCATCGCAAAAACCATTGGCAACTATCCCATAAGCCCCAAATCCAAGTGCATGCAAGTCGGCTTTCGTCCTCGCCTTCGGGCGCGGCCATCGCTGGTCGAGCTGCTGGTCCGAGGAAAGCAGGACGATAACGGGTCGTCGCCAGCTGCCACAGCGCCTGGCACTGGCAGCTTGAGTGCCTACTTGCAGGTTCCGGGCGACGGTGGTACAGGCGCCATCGGTGGCTGTCCTTCAGCGACAGAAGCCTCAAAAGCAGGCACGGACCCCGGCCATACATCATCGCCCCCACTTTCTCATGAACCAGAATCAGCAGTACCATCGCCTGCCCGTACCGTTTCCAGCTTGAGTACCACAAGTCCCATACAAGACGGTGACGGGGTACATGCACTGGAGCCGCAGCCGCATCCGCAACCGAGTAGCCAACTCACAGTGGACGCCGAAGCTCTGGAAATAGCTTCTGCTCAACCTCTACCATCCTCTTCTCCAACAACACCTCGTCCATCCAACCCGCCCTCCCCCTCAACTGCGGACCCTTCTTCACCTTCCTCCGATCCTCCTCCTGTGACGACGCTGCACGAGCCGAGCCCTGCTCGCGTCGAAACGCCCATCATGCCTCCTGTAAGCAGCCCAATTCAGACGCCGCGCTGTCACTGTTGTCGCCTCTGTTGTGCGGCATATGCTTGCCCCACCGACCTCGACTGCTGGAAGCTAACCTCGGGCGTCAACCCCAACAGAAGCAGAAGAAAGAGAACAAGGTCGAGCAGGAAGATCTCGGACATGGTAAGCTCCCAGGCTCTTTTGCGCTGCCTCTTGGCGATGGCATCGACTGACTGGCGTTGGCCTACAGGCAAGATCTTCTCCGTCTCAGGGTTCGTTTGAAGCTCTCCCAGCTCGCCCCCGTCTCCCAATCTGCTGTTCGCGACGACTAACCGCATCCCTAGACCCGTCATTGTCGCCGAGGACATGATTGGTGTTGCTATGTACGAGTTGGTAGGTCGAAACGTCGAGACACTTACGGAAACGCCAGTTGACACGCTCGCAGGTTAGAGTCAGTCACGATAACCTGGTCGGTGAAGTCATTCGAATCAATGGCGACCAAGCAACCATTCAGGTCTACGAGGAGACCGGTACGTCTTCCCGTCCCAATCCCAAAATCCCTTGAAACGCACAGCTAATGGCATGCGCAGCCGGTGTCACGGTCGGTGACCCCGTCTACCGCACCGGAAAGCCCCTCTCCGTCGAGCTCGGCCCCGGTCTGCTCAACGGTATCTACGACGGTATCCAGAGACCCCTCGAGAAGATCAGCGAAATGTCCAAGACCATTTACATTCCTCGTGGTATCGCCGTCCCCGCCCTCGACCGCACGAAGAAGTGGGACTTCGAGCCCACCGCCAAGGTTGGCGACCACATCTCGGGCGGTGACGTCTGGGGTACCGTCAACGAGAACTCGTTCATCTCTGTCCACCGAATCCTGCTCCCGCCCCGTGCTCGCGGAACTATTACCAAGATTGCCAGCAAGGGCCAATACACTGTCGAGGAGCCCCTCCTCGAGGTCGAGTTCGATGGCAAGAAGACGGAGTACCCCATGATGCAGACCTGGCCTGTGCGAGTTCCCCGCCCGACCACCGAGAAGATGCAGGCAAACGAGCCCTTCGTCGTCGGCCAGAGAGTGCTCGACGCCCTTTTCCCCAGTGTCCAGGGTGGTACTGTCGCCATTCCCGGTGCTTTCGGCTGCGGAAAGACTGTCATCAGTCAGTCTGTGTCCAAGTTCTCCAACAGCGATGTCATTGTTTACGTCGGCTGCGGTGAGCGCGGAAATGAGATGGCTGAAGTTTTGAAGGATTTCCCCGAGCTCACCATCGACGTCGACGGCCGCAAGGAGCCCATCATGAAGCGCACTACCCTTATTGCCAACACCTCCAACATGCCCGTCGCTGCCCGTGAGGCTTCTATCTACACAGGTATTACTGTGGCCGAGTACTTTCGCGACCAGGGCCTGGACGTCGCCATGATGGCCGACTCGTCTTCGCGTTGGGCAGAGGCTCTTCGTGAAATTTCCGGACGTCTGGGAGAGATGCCTGCTGATCAAGGTTTCCCCGCCTACCTCGGTGCCAAGCTCGCCAGTTTCTACGAGCGTGCCGGTCGCGTCAAGTCTCTCGGCTCCCCCGAGAGGATGGGCAGTGTCAGCATTGTCGGTGCCGTCAGTCCTCCTGGTGGTGATTTCTCCGACCCCGTTACTACTTCCACCCTCGGTATCGTACAGGTCTTCTGGGGTCTCGACAAGAAGCTCGCCCAGCGCAAGCACTTCCCCTCCATCAACACCTCGCTCAGTTACAGCAAGTACACCATGGTCCTCGACAAGTGGTACGAGAAGGACTACCCCGACTTCCCTCGTTTGCGCGACCGTATCAAGCAGCTCCTGTCCGACTCGGAAGAGCTCGACCAGGTCGTACAGCTGGTCGGAAAGAGTGCGCTGTCTGATCCCGACAAAATCACTTTGGATATCGCTGTGCTGCTGAAGGAGGACTTCCTGCAGCAGAACGGTTACTCAGACTACGACCAGTTCTGCCCGCTGTGGAAGACGGAGTGGATGATGAAGCTCATGATTGGTTTCCACGATGAGGCCCAGAAAGCCGTCGCTCAGGGCCAGAGCTGGGCCAAGATTCGCGAAGCCACTGGAGACCTGCAGGGCAAGCTTCGTCAACTCAAGTTCGAGCTCCCTGACGATGGCCAGGCCGCCGTTACCAAGAAGGCAAGTCAATACAACATTGTGTCAGAGGATTCCACTAGCTAACACTGTCATCGCAGTACGAGGACATCCAACAGGAAATGCTGGACAAGTTTGCCTCCGTTATCGACGAGTAAACGCTCCAAAGGCGGTTGGGTATTGTCCTGTTTAGTCAGCATCCCTTTGCGCTATAGGGGATGTCTCGAGGTTCAATAGATGAGCCTGGGACGGAGACGTATTGTGCATGGTGGTTCCTCGTTTCGTAGTCTCGGCTAGTATATCCTATCTGTACATGATCGTTACCAAACCTGATCCGCGTGCGTGTTGTTACGACTACGTGCTGTGTCCCATCACAGGGAATGGACTTGATGATATGTAATAAGTTGCTGGCCCTGTCAGGTAACTAAGCAGGAGTGAATGGCTAGTGTCGCCTTTTTCTCCTCATCTGGAGGGCTGTCGTTGATGCTCAGTTGCAGGCGGCCATTGTGCCCTGTCAGGCTTTTTTTTTTTTAGGTTTCCGAGCGTAGGGTCACCCACCATCGATTATTGGGAGCGGCATCACCTTGGTTTTCGTCCCTGCTTGCGTTCACACACACACACACACACACACACACACACACACACACACACACATCTCTTATTTTTTTAATAAATTGAATGGTTAACAACAACAGAAGCCATCCTAACACCTGACGTCCTGTCTGGCCACTGGTCGCTAAAAGGGGCTGGAGAGGGGGCGTCACTTTGCAGACTGAGGCCGCCACATCGGTCTTCACCTCTCTGGATGTTGGGTTATGTAAGCCTCTGGTAATACTTCCATGGTCTCAAAAGTTACTATTATAAGCCTTCTAGAACCTCTCTTATTCGCCTTCCCTGTCATAACGGAGGTCGACACATGGACATATGAACCACATCATCCAGGGCTGACGGGGACACGATCAAGGTGATAGTATAGAAGAAGGCTTAGAGAAGAACACAAGAAGGAGAAGAAGAAGAAGAAGAAACCACGAGCTCGAGATCTGAAACTCGGGTCTCAAACACTCCTGGGAGGACTGTTGCAAGAAAGTTTACTGCAACGTCTGATGCACTATGTTTCCCTGCCCAGTTCCCACAACAGAATGACGTTTCTTGAAGAAACAATCATGATGGGATCGAATCCCCGGTTTTCTAGACCGTGATAAGGCAAACAGCATCATGGGGCTCACGCCCTAGGGTAGTGTACCAGGATACACTCAGCCCACTTCATCAACACACTTTGTCGAGATGATATCAGAGGCATTTGGTACAGTCATTAGTGTTCCGTGTTTCCACTATTTCTAGTTGTGTTTCGAATACGTGACTGTGCCGATATATGCACACACATGTCTCATCATCCGTTCGGCGCCACCAAGGCATGCAATACAGCTTCGCGCCAAAGGATCAAGCGCCGCTCCCCTCCTTGCCGTTGGCCTTGTTGTAGTGCTGGGTAAAGTCATAGCGCACCGCAAAGCTCTTCATCATCAGCTCGCGCATGAACTCCGGGTCGCCCTCGGCGCGGCGGCACATCTGCATGAACCCGTCCCGCTCGAGCCTCGTGGCCGGGTCCGCGTCCATGACCCTCCGGAAATTCTCCTGGGATATCGGGTCGATGATGGTCTGCCACTTCTCTCTCCTCTTCTCGCTGTACAGGTCCAGGATGCTCTCGTCCGCCAGGCCGTCCCACAGCCCGGCGAGGCAGTCGTACAGCCCGCCGACGTCCACGAACCCCCCCGTGATGCCCAGCCCGCCCCAGGGATTGCACAGGTGGGCGGCGTCGGCGGCCAGCATGAACCGCCCGGACCGGAAGCGCGGGGCGCACCGCTGGTGCATCTTGTACGGCGCGAAGTTGACGACCCTGTACTGGTGGGGCTCGGGGTGCCCCGGCAGCATGGTGCGGAACTTGTCGGCCTGGCGCGCCTTCATCTCCTCGTGCGACAGGCCCGGCTCCTCGCCGTAGGTGACGCGGTACAGCCCGTCGTTGGTGATCTTGGCGGCCATGAAGAAGTGCTCCGGGTGGATGATGAAGTTGGCGTCGTCCCATCCGTACTCGCCCGCGAAGTCGTAGTACGTGTTGGTCGCGACGATCTGCTGGTCCCACGTCCAGCCCGGGTACTCGTTCCCGAAGAGTCCCTTCCGCACGGCGCTGTTGGCTCCGTCGCAGCCGACAATGTAGTCGGCCTCGACGCGCGTCCTGCCGCCGGGGGTCTCGACGTCGACCCAGGCCCGCTCCTCGTCCTGGCCCAGGCCGACCACGCGGTGCTCCCAGCTGATGGAGCCGCCGTACTTGCCCAGGAACTCGTCCAGCATGAGCTGGTCGAGCTCTTGCAGGACAAGGCACGCGGTCCTCAAGTCCTTGCCGTCGACGTCGCTGAGCATGCTGGCGTCGAATCCGGCGATGACGCTGTGGTCCTCGAGGCGGCGCCAGGAGTACCGGCTGTTCACCATGCCGCGGCGGCGGACCTCGTCGATGATACCCGCACGCATGAGGTCGGGTATGGCGGGGGGACCATAGTGGGCGGCCCGGGGTCGCTGGTCGAGGTGGTCCTCGGCCTCGAGCACATGCACCTGGATTCCATGTTTGGAGAGCAGCAGGGCGAGGAGCAAGCCGGAGGGGCCAGCGCCGACGATGACGACCTGTTGACCGAGTTACCTAAGCATAGTATACGCAGAGGGGCGGGGGGGGGGGGGGGGGGGGGGGGTTTCCCCCGTGGAAATAAGCACCTTATTGAATGGTCTACTCATTTCTGGCATCCTAGGACGCGATACGGAGTCTGTGCAGAGAGTGCTGGCGATGATGAGACGAATTCGTCTTCAGCAAAGGTTCGTGGGTGTGGACAAGAGCAGAGCCGATCCGACCCCGCAGCAAGAGCAGAGTCCCGGGCATATCTCCGCTGCTTCGCCGAGGCAACAACGCCGCCCTCGACCAGCGGAATTCCATTCCAAGCATGTCTGCATTATCTCGCCCCCGCCCCCGGTACGCATTGCGGTTAGACTAAGACCCCGCAGACGTCACAGCACGCGACCGGCCGAACTGCTCGCCCCCCTCGTGGGCTTGGTGAGGGGCAAGCGCGGGGTTGACGATGATGGGGCAATTATTTTTAGATTGCGCAACTGGACGCGCGAGCTACATCAGACGGCGATCTTGCGTACAGTCCTAGTTGCTCATCATATTTCTCTCCATCGTTATTATATCTGCTGCCCGGGCTTGCGGCGTCGGGAAAGCGGCAGCACGATGGCTGTGCAATGTATCACAATGGTTGCGGGAGTGACCCTGGCCGTCCTTCTCGACAGCAATATCGGTTTGCAAACGGGCCCCTAACGCTGTCGGGGGCAGGCCGCAGGACGCACGAATCATACCTTATGAAGCACATGATCAGCACGCCGGGCCAGTGTGGAAGTCGAGCTGCAACCGCCGGAGCCCAGGATGAGCACGCCAACCGAGGCCTCCGTGGCCCAGCGGGCGGATCAGATTGGTTATGCGAACGGCTCGACCTGCCAGTTTCTATGCTACCTGGCGGTCGAGGACACACAGATGTCGTCGTTGCCCTGGACCTTGGGGTGGCAGACCGGTGTGTGTCACTGTGAACGACCGGCCCCCGCATCGGCGCCCCACCGGCGCAGCGAGCGCATCAAACAACTTCGCCTCGACAGCAGAAAACAACCGTCAGAGACCGACCTAGCTGTAGAAACCACACCAGTTTAGTTTTGGGAGAGATAGAATGGACCATCATCTCTTTTGCCGTTTACAAATTGTCGCCACTTCGAGCCCACGGTTCTCCCGATGGTCACATGCTATTTGTGATATCTACTCACCACGCGGGCCTTTTCGGGTCGATGACCCGTATCCAGAGGCGATCCGTATCCTGGGGCGCTGCAAAAGTAAGAATTGCCAATGCTCACCCATACACGTGCCAAGGCTGCGTTGAATACTGTTTCGATAACCTTGTTTAAATGTCCGATAGCCGTCTTGTGCTACCCGGGGGGTCAGTGGCAGCGAGTTGGCACTGGCTGCTGTCCTGGCATCGAGGAAGGCACTCATGAAACTTTGCCATCGCTGTCATGAAAGACGTTTGAGCTAAACGGTGTCCTTTTTTTTTTCTCTCTCCCTATGTTGGCCGTCGGGCTTCACGCTCGCTGTTCCGAGTTAACTGAGTCTAAGCCTTTCACCCAATAAGGCTTATCGGTATAGTCGAGAGTCCAGAGAAAACAACGTTTGATCAATCCTTCCAGGTCTTTCTTGTCTCGGTAGAAGGTGAAACGGCCTACCAGTCAGACGTTCAACCAAGTAACACTGTAATGGCGCGCTGTCTCATCGTGACTTGAGGACGTGCAATGGTTTCATGCGGGAACGCATTGCAATACCCTACATCATATTCACAAGCCTGTATGATTTGCTCCGTTTGCCAAACTGTATGAACCGCGAGCTGGCGGAGGACAAACACCGCGCCGGAAACTGGATCTCATACTGGTTTCTCCAGGCATTTGTTCCCAACACGAGACAGTCCGTGTAAATTGTCAGACACCAGGTCGATATGTCCTAGTGGGATGGATGAGGGATCGTGCTGGCCCTATTTCACATGCTGTTTTGGGGGGGTCGAGGATACTGAGTTGATGATAAATCAAACTTAGTGGCCTTTCTTGGAGGGGTGGAGAGACTTGAATACACCCCGTTCCCTGACGGCTTCGGTTTGAGTTGGAGTCGAACGGTTAGTCATCTCGGGGTTGCTGGGCACAGTACGAGTCCTACCGAATATAGATCATCCGGTAACTGGCCATGAATGCACGTTGGCATGCCAGAATTAGACCACAGGGTGCCGAATACGTAGCGCCGTCCGATTCAATCGATATGTATGCATACTTGTCTAATCCCTATCGAGGAAACCCGCGTGGTTCTCAGTCACACACACACACACACTCTCTCTCTCTCTCTCTCTCTCTCTCTCTTTATGACGTGGCTACCAAGCCATTCGTTGAAGTTGGAGCAGCTATGCCACGCAGCCCGTACACACAGGCGGTACCCGAGCAACGACACCATTTTTTTTTACCGATCTTGGCTCAAGGTCAATAACTGCTGACTCTCTTGGAGACTGCCCTCCTGGAGCACGACACGTTCAGTCAACTATTGCCGGCCCGTCGTGGCTCAAAAGAGTCTAGAGAGACCAAGACGGGGGGGGGGACGCCATATTACTCAGCAGGCGTCAAACGCCACAAGCGCAGTGCCACGAGCACCACAAATAGGTAGCTCGGGATGACAGAGTCGGCGCCCGCCCAGAGGAGAGTACGGATAGCCGGTGGAGAATGTCTCAAAAAGAAGGTTCGCAGACCCACTTCCGAGCCATGTGCCGCCGTACGCCGGTTTTAGCTCGATCAGGGATCACCTCTCGGTCCAATCCTAACCGTCTCCATTCACACCTCTCCAATATCCAATAGATGACGAGTCCCCGAGTTTGATTTGCAGTTCAATTCAACGAACACGTTTCACCTCATCTACCTAGTGCACACACAAAAATAATGGTGGACCTGTGCTGGTTGGATGAAAGCATTGTTTGCAGCTGTAATTGATAGCTTTGATTTTGCGCTGGTCTCAGTCGTATCGTTTCCCGGCAACTCAAGTGGTCTTGTTTCCAATCCTCTCATTCCCCTCAAGTCTTCCTTGCGCACAAGAGAAGGGGAATCCTATGTGTTGAACATGTTTTTTGTCAAGATAATCGTGCTTTATTCTGTTGGTATCATAGAATTCTTGCGCTGTTCCTCGGAACGGGTTTTCCTGGGCCCATTCCGCCCTTCCTGATGATTCGCCCGCAACGGAGACTGATGCACAAATGGAAATGATGTAACAAGACTTTGAGAGAAATAAAATGAGAAAGGGAAATTTGAGTTACCAAGTTAAATAAACAATACATAAGTCTTCGATGTGACTCGACTCGACTCCTGAAACCCCGTTGGGAATATATATAATATGACCATCATATATACAGGCTATCTGTTCAGCCAGAGAAATGAATTTTTTTGTCGTTTTTGTCGTTTTTGTCGGACGGACGGGAGTTTGAAAGAGTGAGTCTGAAAGAGAGAAAAAGGTCGACATTTTTCGAAAACTGGCTGAGTATGCTCTTTACTATTCCCCCGACTTCCATTGTCGTAAAGCGAGGTATCATGCGCTTGTTCCCCCTGTTTGACTTCTTTGTGTTCTCGGTGACCTCTCGATATTAATCAACACAACCCCGTCACGTCCTTTACAGCCAACCGCGCTGGGTGACCATGTACCCCGACACACGGGACGCGCTTACGAGACAGTAAGCACCATGGGGCCAGCCACAATGATCTCATCGGTGAGCGTGCCAGCCATCGGGGACTGGCTCGTAAGGGAAACGTAGGTGATGCCGCTGAGACCCTGGGGAACGACGCAACCCTGCTGTTGGTTGAAGGGGGCGAAGATGGTTCCGCCGGGCAGGACGCCACCAGTGGTGAAGGCGCATGCCTGGGCCTGGGCAGCAGCGTCGGACTGGAGCATGATCGGGGCACCGATGGCGACCGCAGAGGCGCTGGCGGGAGAGGTCATGGTCAACTTGGGGAAGGCTTGCAGAGCCAAGTTGGATCCCTGAGGGCAGGAGGTGATGAAGGGAGCGGCCAGGGAGAAGACGGCGCGGATACCGAGAGGGGCATCGAAAGCTTGGGGAATGGCGATCTGCTTGGAGGCGGCGCGGATGAAGGTCTGGTGGCGGGCCTCGATGGTGAGGATGGAGCCAGCAGTGCCGAGGATGCCCTTGTCCTTGACAAGAGGGGCGGCTCCGAGGTAGGCGGAGACACCGACGTTCTCGAGAATGGCAGCAGTGGCGACCATGCTCTTAGCGTCGGTAAAGCCAAAGTTGTACTGGCAGGGCTGGACGGGCTGGGTGCCGGCCTGAGCAATGGATGACTGCAGGAGAGAGACGTGCGACAGCTCAGTAGCACCGACTTGCTGCAGGTCGTTGACTTGCTCCTGGGACAGGCCTAGAGCCAGGAAGTCCTGAGCGGGGAACTTCTGGAAACCTTGCTGGTAGAAGGTTCCCTCGAGCCATTCCAAGGTAAGGGCGCTGTGGAGCCTTGGTCAGTAATCTTGTAGGATTTGGTCCAGGCAGTGGCGGTGTAAACTCACAATTGAAGGATGTCGATGTCGGTCAATCCGGCAGCGCTAGCCTGAGCCTGTTGCCTCTTGGCCAGGCTGTAGAGCTCCATCTGCTTGTCGTTCAACTTGGGTCCCATAGGGACGGCAGCGGCCACTGCGGCCAGGCAGGCGACGAGGGCGGTCTTCATTGAAGGCATTGTCGATTAAAGTTGTGTGGTTTCTTGCAGCTTTGCTCGTCCTAAAACTCTTGTTTCCTTTTCAATCGACTGTTCTCCGGGGACAGGTTACTCGGGCGATGGGGATTGTTGTTAAAAGAAAAAAAGCGATTCTCGATCGGTGCCACCTGGGACGGTCGATGAAGTGAACGATTACAAGAGGGGGGGTTTATTAAGAATGTCGTCCAAGGAAGGGAGTGACAGTTCGTAGCGGTAAGATGTCTCGAAGGGAAAAGGAGAGTGTAAGCAAAACCGGTGGACCAGGGAAAGCAGACCAGCGCTTTTGGAAGTTGTAAGAAATTGACACACAGTGAACGGGATGAAGAAGAGAAGGGAAGAGGGGTGAGAACAAACGACTGGAGGTGGGAAACAAGCGGGCAATAAAGAAGGTTGAGGATTCGACCGGCATCATCATTGCCGCCGCCACCCCTTCCCCCCTCCTCCATGAATCGGCGGCGTATCTTCCACCACGCATAGCTCCTCGCAGGTTCTGCAACTCAGGAGGGGGTCGGATCGACTTGGGTCCTTGCTGGGTATTGTCTGCGGCTAGCTTTCTTTCCGTTGTCGGTTCACACGGGAGTCCACAATGCGGGTAGCAAGATTACGCTCGACCGTAAAGCTTCAGACCGAGCAGGGGTACAGGGTGCAGGGTACGTACAGTAAGTACAGGTACCCACGAGTCTGCGTCTGGTAGTTGGTGCCGGTCCCGACCAAGAGGTCCAGGGTAGACAACTGCAGCGCAGGCGGGCGCGCGCGCACGCGGAGTGTGTCAAGGAAGACTGCAAGGGGAAGGGATCCAACTGGGCGAGTAGTATCGTGTCACGCACGACGTAGCAATACGTACTCGCTGCGAATGGCGTCAAGGGGCAGGGGGGGGGGGCAGGAGGACATGGGTCAAAGTTCAGATGGCAGCAAGCCTTCCCTTCTTGCGCTGCCCGGGTAGGAAGTCAGCCTGCTTGGCTGCTTGGCTAATTTGTCCAAGGTGAGAAAGGTGCGGCAGGGCAGGCAGGGCAGGAGAAATTGAGTATGGACGACGAGTGCTCCGCATGTTTCGTTTCGCTGCGGTCCAAACAAGCTCAGCGAATCGGTATAGACTTTCGTGAGCAAATGCCCAATCACAAGGCCTGGTCCAAAGAAAGAAGGGGGCAGGGGGGGAAAGCAAATGAGATTGCGCAGGGGCCTTGCTAGATTGCTCAATTAGGACGAAGCCCGTTTCTAGACACAGTCGCGACCCCTGCCGAGCTTGTTTTTGCGCTTCTTTTCTTTTTTGCCCGATGAATTTGGGTTACAAGGGTCTCGGCCCTACCGGGGCATGGGGGTCGAGTTTTGACAGTGACACAGTGTTGAGTGTGGGCGAGGGGGGGGGAGCAAAGAAAGGTAGGGAATGCACCCAAGGACCCCCTCGCTCATCACCGTTTGGCGTTGCAGCCAACCCAACTTTGTCGCATCGTGACTCCAAGCCAAGACTCTGAGGTCGTCCCGGGTCACGAGTGGGCCGCTAGCCGAAACCAATATGATACGTCTCCCACGTCAGAATCCCGGTCCGTGAACGCCCGGTCCTTCCTGTCACTGGCGTCTTAGGCAAGACATGATTGGATCGCTTTCGATAAATGGGGCAATAGGTACGGAGTACTCTTGGGGGAAGGAAGGACCCTTGCATGGCCTACATCGGTACGTACCGCACGTTGCCTTCTGCAGGAACGTTCTCTCGGTAACGTCTCTTTCCATTCCTGAACCTCACTCCACTCTCCCGGCTGCCGTTTTTCCACCTTCCCCCTACCTGTCGGTCTCTGGTTCCCGTCCATCCCATACTACCAAGGCCAGACAATCAATCAATCAATCAATTAATTACTCGCATATCCTCCCATCCGGCTAGTCTGAGTCCCTGGGCGAGTCGCTGGCTTTTATTCGACCCCTCCCCCCCGGTATTGTCAAGCCGCTATCGTTACCTTACGAGACACGGAGACGGATCTCATACCCACAACAGTTGTCGCTTTCTGACGCTGCCGTTCGTGCCAGATGGCAGGTCAAGGGCCACAGGTCCTGTTCTCTTTTCACGCCGCCATCCAGGGTGCCACGCACCATGGACCCAATTGGATGATCTGCGAGCCGCTCACGTACTAAACGTAGGAGGTCGCCTATCTTGCCTGTCAATTGATTGCCATTCGTGATCTTGACAGCAGAGGCATCGACCTTTTGACTGGCCTCATCTTGCCGGGCCGCCAGAAGAAGAAAAAGAAACGAAGCAGACTGACTCGAGAGTCGAATATGGCCCTGCAGCCCGCCTCGGAAACAAACACGCGGGCCACGTTCGCCGTCTGGTCTCTCGTAGAAACGACCGACCGCAATTGGACCAAGCTTCGCCCTCTCAGTCTAGCGTAGTCAGGGAATCCATTGAAGAATAAATTTCCGCCCTAATTGCTAGCCTCGCGGCATGATAGCGAGTATGTAGCTCTCCAGCGTTCAAATCGCCCTCTCATGGCTGGCCTGTTTCCCGTCCGCGTGGCAGCCAATGGTCTCCTCGACCGCATCAATACACTAGCCACTTAAGCTTAACAGCTATGGGGTATCTGAGGCGTAGCAACGGGCTCGTTCTCCGGCGGCTGAGACATCTTGAATATCTGGGTGGCATCTCGTGGCTTGGCCGGGTTATGCTCCTTATCCATGCTGCTCATCCAGCAGGCCCGAATACGCAGGTCTTAACTCTATCTTCAATGCTTCTCCCTCCACCATCTCTAGTCCATCTCATCAACATGACACCGGATGGCCGCTAACCAACCGCCAAAAATCTCACTCGCCGGCTTGTTTCGGCAAGCAAAGAACTTGCAGGGGCTTACAACTCGTTTCAAAAGCCCTCTTAGGCTACCCATCCTCTTCGTCTCAACCGCCTACCCAGCTAACAAGCGGAAGGGAAAACGAGACCGTCCCGCTTCTGTCATCCAGGGCTTGCAGTGACTTACTTGGCCAAACTCAAAGTAGGCTGCCATTCCGTTTACCCGTGTCCCGCAATACTCTTTAATCTGTCTTCCATCATGCATCCCCACCAAGAAGAAAGTGTCCCGAGAAGCCCGAGAAGCCGCAGCAGTCGCAAGTCCAACCTTGTTCTGCTGCTAGGCTTTCGAAACTTGAGCCACGGACGCAGTCTCCCCTCAAAGTTCAGCCCGATCACTACTCCGTACTCATTACATCATGGTTCCAGAATCTTTGCCTAGCATGCACTCCATGCGCGCGCCTGACACGGACGCAACCCTCTCCTCTTTCGTCCGTTGTCGTCGTTTCTTCCGTCCTTCTATCATACGCTTCCCGCAAAACAGACTATTACAATGCCCGCGTTCCCACTCACCCCCGGGCGGCCGGCCGATATGTCCAGACAGTTGCAAACGACCGATTTTCGCACCGCAAAAAGTGATGGCTGTGTTCGGCCCATGAAGGAAACGAAATCGGGATCCTTCCCAAACACCGACCATCGCGGCAACTAGCGGCGCCGCGCCTCCCTGTACGGCGTGCCATTGGGAGGGCGGTTTGGAGCATGTATTTGGCACGCCTTCCGTACCGTACAAACACACAATACGGTCCCGGAATAGAAATGGCCGACATCCGGCCATGGCTCTGGTGTGAGACTCGCGAGGCCCCTTCCTTCTTTCTGGCTGCTCCTTTTTACAGAGGAGTATCTCCCACTCAATCTCAGCTACAATAAAGGGCAAACGCCGCGCCTTTCCCGCCTGAACCGGACGAGAGGTTTGCTTCACTCCCCTGCCGATCGCCACGCAGATCTCTCCGGGCATCAGGTAGCCTGAACTTGGGCCTTGCTGCGGGTCACCCCGTTATGGAACTCGGAGAAGGGGCAGGATTGCAACCTCGACCAGGGCCCGTGATGGGACAGGAGACGACGTCGCACGTCTCTGTATCAAAACACTAGTTCCGCCCAAGATTCAGGCGGACCCGAGGCACAATAAGCACGATGGGAAGTGGGAACGGTAAGGCTGCCCCCAGACACAAAAGAGGCTAGCTACTACTTACTCCCCTTTCTTCGCTTTCGCTTTCTTTTTCTGTCTCTCTCTCTCTCTCTCTCCATCTCCCCATCGCTCGCTCTTCTCTCAAACGCTTCCGTCGCCGGCGTATAGACCGCCTCTGTTTAATGGTCGGTGAAGTGAGTCGTTGCAGACCTTCAGGCTTTGCTAAGCTGCTGCTGCTGCTTCATAACCAGCCCCACGTCCGGCCCGGCGAGCCTGGTCCACTTCAAGACCCATGCGATTCTTTCAAATCGCTCTCTCTCTCTCTTCTGTGCCATTCCAGCCAGATCCGATCCACACACATAGCTTGAGCCGTCACGTCAGATTTTTCAAACCGGCTCTCCTGTCAACCATCGCGGCTGAAACGCTGCCCCCCCTTCTCCCTCCCCTTCTCCAACCTGCATTCTCTGCAACCTAGCACACGGGGCCACCTGGTTTATACCCAAAGATTTATATTATAACCTTGTGGCTCTTCGTGCCGTCTCTTCCACCTCCGCGAATACACTTGTCATGCCTACGTGATCCCTTGAGCGGTAAAAGCTTGGTCGGCTACGTCTCTAAAGTCTGCAATTGCATGTGCCATTTTACGAACTAATGGGCGCTATCTCTACTATTTCATCCTCGGCCTCCCTCTCAACTTACGGCCCTTGTACTAAATAAATGACTCATCCAGGGACGAAGATACTTCCTTCCTATTACCCTCTTCCAATCGCCGTGTATCTATCATCCCATCTCTCACCCAAACTTTTCTACGCCATCCATGATGTATCTTCACTCCACAAGACGCACCATGTGCCCATCTGTCCCGTGATCGTGGCCAATCTGTGTCCTTGTTGGACGCAGCATCTCAACATACCATTTTACAGAGCGTAGGGGTTCAAGGAGCGAATAGTCAAGCAGCTGCATCATGTTAGTACATTCTCAGCAGGACATTAGTGTGGGATTCAACTTACGGCGGGCTCTTGGAGA